AGTCACCCCACCTTATCCTTCAGTCACTTTAAGTCACCTTTCCCCTCTCGTCACAAACTTTTCACATCTAATTTTCTCATATTTGCTTTTATCATCAACCTTACTTTTCTCTATTTAATTTTGTTGTTTTCTTTATTTAATTTTAGGTTAATTCCTCCATTTTACAAGGTTTTTCAGTTTTAAACTTTTAATTTTGACCTTATTTTATGCCCTACTTACTTTTTTTTTCTGTAATAATTTAATAGTTTTTTATTTTTAGCTATGAGTTATTAACTTCCTGTAAAAATTGAGAGAGTTTTGTTTCTTTAAAAGCACCATTGAAATTAAAATTCATTATTATAACTTAGTATAGTGTAAGTTTAATATGTAATACAGTGTAAATATGTTTAGTATAAGGTTTAAACACTCTTTTTTTGACTTCTCTTTTTAACCCATTTCTTTTTGAAGCTGAGAGTTTCTTTGAACTCTCCTTTTAACCATCCATCATTTTAAACAGTTTTCTTCTCTTTTTTCTTTTCCCATTTTTTGTCTTTTTGTCTCTTTTTTTTTTCAAAAATCTGTAAATTTCTTACCATACCTTCTTTTTAGCCTCTAACTTCTCATGATATTCGTTTATCTTATCTTCAACATTTTTTCTATTGCAACATTAAATCAAAAATTGCTTCTTGGGGAATTGACAATTCCCTGGAACCTTGCCTTTGTTCTACTGCCCTAGAACTGCAAAATCTGTCCCATTATCTACAGGTAATTTACTGGTTTCCAATATGCACACCATTCCTCTGGTGCCGACCTGGATAACTGGGGGGGATCCCACTCTAGATTACCAACGTCTCAGTAAAATTAAGTACCTTCTGGTGGCACCTACGACCTTCCTCTCACTCTAAGAGAGAGCCTCACGTTCCTATGCGAGGTCTTTTGGTTCACAGGTGGAAAAAAAAAGCCAGAATTGCCTTTCGTGTCCCCAAAAGAAAAATTATCTGTTATTTTGTATGTATATACTTTAGTATTATACTAATTTTAGTGCATTAAAATGATTAACCTGTTATTCTTTAATTTAGTTAGTTTTTTTTTGTTAGATTACATTTATTTATTTGACTATTTTTAAGGGAGAAGAAGAGGACTTTGTTTGAGCTAATTTTCCAGTATTTGATTTCTAGTAATCTTTAAATCTGTTAACAATCTGTTGTTTTGTAATTTAGTTTTTGAAATTTAATTTAAACTGTGCCGACAAAAGATTAATCTCACTGTCTCAAAAAAATGGTTGGTTTTGATCCTCCTGCGGACCTCCAGGGACCTCGATGCCAGAAGTCCTCACTCCCTTAACCTTCTAACGGGGTATTGAGGCTGGAAGACTGCTTCCTCCAGGTGGTACCTGACACTTCTGACAATCGCTGTCCTCAGAAAAAGTCAGTCAAAGAGAATCTTGCATTGACAACGCCAAATTGTCGTGGGAAAAAAGTATTCAACTATTCATCCTAGTTAAATAAACGGAGATCGATGGATTTCACTCAGTCGGCACATTTATTAATAATCTTTGCAAAGAGAGAACAGTCATCATGAAGCCCTTATGGTACAGCATTCTGGTCTGTTCTGATCTGGGCAGCGTTCGTTCCCCCTTACTTAGAACACTTCAAAAGTAGTCAAAGTCAAAACAAATTACAGACACTTTGGTTAACAGTAACATGTTATGAATAAACCTGGAGAAAGAATCTAGTTTGATATGCGAAGAAGCAATGTCTGGTCTACAAACACCAGCCTGGAGAGAAATGTGTGGCCTTGAGAGAGAAACAGACTGAGTGAAAACTTTTATAGTGAGTAAATAGGATAAATTAATATATAATTTGAGAAAGATATAAATTTTCCCACAACATGGATGGATGAAAGTAGACCTGCATAAATCCCAAACAAGGTAACGACTGCCTGTGGACAAAAATAAACAAAAAACAATCACTGCTGTTTTTATTTTATTTTATTTATTTATCTATTTATTTATTTATTTTTACCATTTACAATAACTGAAATCCAGCAGTTTACTTAAGATTGGGTTTAATTTTTATTTTATTTTATTTTTTACCTCATCTGTTCCTGTGCTTACCTGCATTTCCTGATTGTGCTCAAAGCCTGCAAGACACTGTAGAAAAAAAACGGTTGAAGCCTGATTACAACATTTTGGCACACCAAAGTGCCTAGACAACCCAGTCTGGGTTTTGAAAAAAGCGCAAAAACACCATACCAACACAGACATTCAGAGGGGAAACCATCATGGTATGGGGTTTGAAGGCTATCGGTCATTGAGGGACAGATGATTTGAAAAATATACCAAGAAATTATTGATAAAATCTGCTGTCATCAACCAGGAAGATGAAGATGAAACCAGGCACTATCAGTAAGACAATGATCTAACCCAGGCAGCCAACTGTACACCACACTTTACTTTTTAAGAATTGTTTAAACTTAACATTATATGTTGCTTTTCAGCTTTTATTTTATATCCTCCCCAAAATACACTGATATTTGAGGTTGGAACATGATACATCATACAAAAAAAGAATTGTTGTTTTCAAGGTCAGAACCTTAAATATTAGAAAATGTACATTTGTTTAAAAAAAAAAAACTAAATAAATGCTCTAAACTGAACAAATAATCGAGACTTTATAGGAATTCTACTCATATTTTAAAATACCATTTATGTTTTTGTCAATAGTCTCAATATATCACTGAGAGAAAAATCACAGCTGTTCTTAACATCTTGTAAGGAAGCTGGCCCCATGCCATACAGTTTGATTTCCATGTGGAGACGTGGTAGACATGGCTGTAATATCACATCCCAATTTGATTGTGCTTTCCTGCTTGTATCAGATGATAAAATGCTTTACAGTCCAGTTGGTTTTGTTTTCAGCAGGCTATTTTTAATTGTTTATAAGTAAGTTTTGTGAGCAAACTCACTGGTAGAGCTGTGTTTATTATGACAGGCTTTATCGGGTTTAGTGGTAATTATGTTTAATCCGGCTCACTGTTAGATCCTGGTTGTCTCAAAGGGATTTCCCCTTGTTTTGTCTCTGGATGTCTAGCAAAGTTAGCCTCTCCAATCCAAGGGGTAATTTAAAGACGCATACCGATGATGAATAAAGAAAGGTGCTCAAAACTAAATCAGTGATTATGGAATAATTGTTAAATGAATGAAGCAGTTCTTTCGTCTTTCTGAGACAATTAATTTTCACAAAACAGTCGTCTCACAATCGACAGATGAATCTCCAAAACATTGGACAAAGTCACACATTTTTATTCTATTCCAATTCATACAGATGTCTGCGCTCTTAGCCAACGAGCTTTTCATAAACAACTCACTGTTCCAGATGTCCTCCTTTTTCCTCCGGAACTGGTGGCAGGTCAAAATAACCTGACTCCAGGCGATTGATTGAACTTTTTACCATCACGTCCTCCCATAGACGTGAATAACACAACTAGCAACAGACCTTTAGCTAGAACCATTGCTAGATCATCTAAGGCCAGCTGGAGCACAAGCTAGTCCACTTCTGGCAAAAATAAGTCCATCTTCTGAGAAGCTATTTCTCCTACAGGTGAAATCAAACATAATCAAATGTAAATAATCGATCACTGTTTGAAAATGATGTTATGTTAATAGTTTTTTTTAGGTTACAATCTCACAAATGTATTATATTTTTTTTTATCTTTGTAGCATCTGTGTTGTACTACTACTTCTACAAGAGGACCTCAGAGTTACTGGGTGACCCTCGTCTTTATGAGGATTCCCCCTGGTTGAGAGAGCTGTTCGCCCGCTCCAGACAGTGATCTGCAGAGGCATTCAGAAAGCGCACAAGTCATAATGAAATGGCGCCGCAAAAAAAACAGTTACCCATGGTTGACGTTGAAACACGTCACTGTAATATTACTCTGGTTGTTACAATTCTCTTTAACTTCAGGGAGAGGAAAGAATAATTTTGGTATCTATTTGGAGTTCGGGGAATAAGTATTTTACATATTGTTACAAAACTTAAACCTCAAATTCACTCATTAAAACATGTTAATATAACACAAAAAAGAAAGAATAAAAAAATGATATAAGGAGAATTTTAACTGTAAAGCTCAAAAATATGATTTATATAATGTTTAATTTTCCCCCCTCAGAGAGATGTGCCAAAAAATCAAGTTAGGTGTCTGTTAAAAATGTAAAACAAGATTAACTTAACTGTACTGACCATTTTTGAAGAGTTACTGTAGGTGATATGTTTTATTCTATAAATGGTGCATCTGGGAGGTTATGAGTTTGAGTTATGTTTAAGCAATGTTACAAACTATTCAATTATCTCTTTTCTAATAGAACACATCATGGAAATTAAAAAATAAATTTGTTGAGATTTTTGCAATGTATTAAAATGGGAAAGCCAAGGAATCACATTTACATGAAAATTTACAGCCTTTGCCATGAAGCTAAAGTTGAGATCAGGTGCAGATAAATTCCACCATCATCCTTAAGCTTAGATTGAGGCCACATGTCATACATTCAGTAGTTGGGACATGATCAGGAAAGGCAGGCACCTGTTTATATATAGTCTCACAGTTGACCTTATAAGGCTATACATACTAAATGTGGAAAAAACTTTAGCAGTGAGAATACTTTCTTTCATGTCATATCAGCCAATTCAAACATCTGTGGATATAGACTACCATGAATACAGTCTTTATATATTGCAGTTTAACTTTAGCTTTCAGAATCTCAAAAATACAGACCTGATGAATCTTTCTGCAAGAGAATGAAGACTGATTTTATAAAATACATCAAACATAATCTGTGCAAAATGTGCTCATAGTCAACTGTATGTGGTATGTATGATGTCACTGCTTATTCAATATTCTGCAACTACTTTGTTTTTCTTGTATTCTTTTTTACAGTCATTATTAAAAAAATAGTTCATTTTTTATATGAATTTAAAAATGTTTGTGTTTTTTAGAGTCAAAACGTTTCTCTGCCTCTATTGAAACATTTGTTTTATTTTACTTTAATACATTCAAATGTTAATACAATAACAATTTTATTTAAGAAAGGCAATCTGTGTTAATCTATGCTAATAAAGAAACCATACACTGTACTAAATAAAACATGACAATAACATTAAAGCCGCGATAGTTAGAACAAATACTGTTGCAGTCAAAAAAAACAAATTTAAGATGAATAAAAGAATCATCTTATTGACATTTTCATTGTGAAAACACAAACACTGACTGGATTAATGCACACAGTTAAACCTTTGGCCTATTTAGACAATAAAAATACATTAAGTTCTTTTTCTCAGTGTCTCAGTTTGGATTGTCAATTTTTATACATATATATATATTTCCTTGCTAAATATGTATAGACATTTAGCGTCATAGCTTTAAAATGTCTTTGCTTTAATGGCTTAAATCTTTACTTCAGCACTGTCTTTGAAGCACGATGCCAGGTGACTCTTTCGAATCTGATCCTTCATCTCGCTGATCTCCTTGATGAGGGAAGAATCCTGCAGATCCAACTAAAAATGAGAGAAAAATAGTTAGTTTGAAATACGTGTTTGATTGTGTTTAGAAACAAAATGTAACTGTCGTAGATGTGTTTACTGAGACATTGTCATTTAATCTATTAAGAAATTACTAAGTATTGACAGTATATATCTTAAAAAACAAGAACGGACTTACCCTCATAGCGTGTCTATAACACTGGTCCGCCTCCTGTTGTCTCCCAAACTGAAAAATAAATAAAACCACATTTTAATGCGGTTGTAAAAATTGCAGGTTAAGATTAAACAAATTGTTCCTTCCACCCCAAAGTTAAATAATGAACTAGAGTGGGGGTGTAAAATTTGCCTCCTGCAACTTTTAGGTACCCCTGAGCAAACACTCCTGAATCAAATGGTTTAACATAATAAGGATGCAGTAAAGGGCTCCTTCAAAATAATGCAAATCAATGAGGAGGACACTTCAGCCAAAGTTGAAGTGCATCAGCGGGTCGCTATGATGAGTATTATCTGTGCTGGCATTAAGGAGGGTGCTAGGAAGAACAAGCGGTTAGCATAAGGACCTCGTGATTTTCCTGTCTGCTGATAGAGTATACAGTACATACGACTATTTAGTACAATATGTTGTGCGAAAGAACGTCTAGGCACATCACACCTAGCAGAGTTTTTCAAAAATAAATGATTTTATGACATGTTCGTTGTGTGAGGTGCACATGTCAACACCTTCACATGTTTGTGGTTTTATCTTGAAGAGCTTCAGCCATTCATTACATTTATGTAACTTTTTATGTAGTTCTTTTCCTGAAAGCTGTAGCCCCAGTCTGACCAGTATCAGCTACCTATGTCTCTCACACAACCATGTCCGTCAGGCTGAAGGCTGTCCGGACTTGTTAAAGTATAGACCCATCCAAACGTTACAGGATACCGGTCCTCGGAGGCTGGAGCTTGATATCTCTGGACTGAAGGCTATATGTTGCAACAGAGCAAAGAAATTGCTAATATATTTTTTATCTAATACTGTTAAATTAAGATTTCTTAACTACAAAAACTGAATTCTTCCAAATATATTTCCAACTGTAACAGCCATCATCTGCATTCTATTACCTCTGTGACTGAAGTTTAATGTTTGCCTTGCACATACCAGCTTTGCCCCGACATTAGGGTAAGAAAAAAAAAATTTCTGAGGTGAAAAAGAATTCAGTCAAAAAAAATATCTGGTTTGTTTTATGCTAAATAATAACCCTCCATGGGCTGTGCCAGAACTCTGAGAGTTGTAATCCTTGTAATCACTCACCTTCAGGTTGATTAAAGAAAGGTATGCCCACATCTCTGCATTCACTGTGTTCAAACGACTGGCTGCGGCTAAAGCATCTTCAGCCTCACACAGCTCCTCCAACTGCACAAACAAATACACAACTAAGACGTAATTCAGATGCCAACTAAAAAATTAAAGGTGGAATCCAGGACTGTTTCATAGTAGACCAAAATAAATAGTTTAAACGATAGGTGTGTTACAAAGGGGTTCCAGTTAAATTATTGCAACACGTTGGCTTTTTAGATTTTATTTGACAAGTTGTTTACTCTTACAGGTAAAACAACAGTTCTTTGTGTTTATTTACTATAACAAGACCTCATTAATGGAGGAAAGATATTGTGCATGTGCGCAGTGAGTTTAGACATGTCTATGTCTATGGGAAACACACTAAAGCCTCGCAGCAGCATCTAGTGGAGGTGTAAGAAATCAGAAAAAAGTAGAAGCAGTAGTAGCTGTGTTCGCCGAAGCAGGAGCTAAAGCTGCAGAAGCATTCAGATTTACTGCCAACCTGGTGGATGGGTGAGCATACGGGTGTAAGTTTATATATGTGATACATAAGATATTTGCCATTGTTCATGCTTTCTATTTGAGTATATTAATTGCATGTAGTTGGTGATGCTTGCGTCTGCTGATCATGCCCGTTGCAAACAAATGTTTTCAGGCAGAAAAAGGGAAAATTAAAACACGCCACGAGGAATGCATTTTTTTTTTTTTTATCATAGTCATAGTATATGACAAAGCTCCTCTACAAGAACATGAGCAATACATATCAGATGTAGATCTTTACCCTGTAGAAGGCTTTTCCAAGGCCCAACCAGGTCAGGCAAGACGGGGACTGCTCACACGCCTGAAGGAAGATTTCTTTAGCTCGCTCAAACTGAAGAAACAAAACCAAAAACATAGAGTTGGTCACAAAGCAAAAAGATGTGTCTTTACATCAATGTTTCACATTTCTTAACGGTAATTTTACTTAAGATTTGTTGGATCTAGTAAAGGAAAATTATATTTAGGATGTTTATCCGCTTAAAAGTGTGTAACTGTGAAAAAAAGACAAATGTTAAAGAAAATTATTTTTTTTTCTAAAACATGTAAACTATGCAAAACTGATAATGCAAAAAAAAACTATGCAAAACTGCTGTATTTAAAAGTTGTGAAGAGAAATGCAATAATAGATTTAATCACAGATTTATTTTACTGTTCAGGTCAGTAAAGTGTTGTGATCTAACTGCAGCAATTACTAACATTGTTCTGCATGAAATAGATGGATCCCAGGCGAAGGAGAACAATGTGTGTGTCTGAAGGTGGTTGCTGAAAGATCAGGCTCCTCTCATAACTCTCCTGTGCTTCAGGAACATCGCCTTGCAGGTAGTGGCAGTGACCTTTCAAGGCCCAGGCATCCGGGTTCTGGTCATATCAACAACAATGATTTAAATATTAGTAGTTTATATGTTTGTCTAAAATCAGGACTAAATCTTGAGTAGATCATGGGATAAAGCAAAGAGTGAAAACATCTCTGAAGAGACGTTTTCTCATCATTTGAAGGATTAGAACACCTTTACAGATGTCATTTGATGCTAGACAGGAAGATGAAAACTAAGATGGCCGGTCGGTTTGATTTCAATAATATTTCAATTAATTAATAATTAAATGTTGAATCTCCAAGAGCACAGTAAAATAACTATTTTTTATTTCTTATAAAACATTTTTTATGAAAAAAACAAAATTTTAAGCTTTTACAAATTATCTGGGATCCAAAAGAATCCTTTGCTGATACTGAGTGGGACCTAACAGCGACAATAACATTTTTTCATGTAGATTTTTATGTACAGTAAGCCAGAGAGCCCTCATCAAATGATCATGTCATGCATTACATCTCTTTAGGCAGTTTTAAGTATTTTAAGTGTTTTTAGGCCAAAAAATAGAAAATAGACTTACCGGTATATAAGGCATAAGCTACATGTTGTAAAAGTATGAAAAATAACTCAGTCATTAAGTTAAATCTTACTCCATGTTTGTAATTTAGGAAAACAGTTGAATTTCCATTATATAGCTTGTGTTACAGCACTGTAACCAGGACCATCTCAATTCTTCATATGAATAGGATCAGCAGCCTACTCAATTTGTTTATATCAACACTTCAGATAGTTTAAACATTTTCTGATTATTTCTAAGAACCTTTTATAATTCCTCTATATAAAATATAAAAACTTAATAATCAAAGGTAGCTATAAGTCTACATCCTCCCGGACAGAATGTGGCATACTTGCGCTGGCCTGCTCTCATTTCCACCATCATGTATACTGTTTGCCAGCCGCCTGTGGGGTCCGCAGTCTAGAACAAGATTAGTAACCTTGCTTCTGAACCCTTTGCTTCCTAAAGTCAGAGCTGTCACAGAGCACTAGCATCTGGCAAAACCAGAGCTGCATCTCACAAATCCACTGTACCTACTGGTCCAGAATCTTTTTGTCGACCTTGACATCATAATCGAAAGTAAATATTTATATACTTTGGACCTGTAAAAATGTATAACACATTTTTCCATATACTACCTGTATATGCATTTCATTTCAGTAAAACTAATCATTTTATTCTGCACAATCCTAGGTGTTCTTTGCATGTCTTATTTTGGAAAAGCACAGCATTTGTGTTTGCCTATATTTATATTGAAATTCTGACAACTTTTATTACAGTAGATCAGACTATGATTAACTAACTATTTCTAGTAGTTGAAGCCCTTGTAATAATGGAGGAAATTCATTTTAAAAGTCTGCTGTGAACAGCGACGCAGTAGGAGGAAATTGTACATCTGGGAAAGAAATTATTTGTAAATCAACTTGTACAACTTGACTTTGAACTGAAATCCTTAAAATATGATTCCAAGCCATGAACAACTTTTTACAGAAACTATGTAGTTTACATCCTCATTGTATAGTATTTTACCTTTATTGGATTATCTAGGCTGTTTCTGGTCATACTTTCCGTAATAAAAGCCACAGGAACTGTAGAAGTACCTGATTTGTGTGAGCCAGTGCTTCTTCCAGGCTCCCAGCAGCACCAGTGTAATCACTTTTGAGCAGCTGTAACTTGGCCAGGTTAAAAAGGTAGGCAAAACTGCAACCTCCTTCAGGACACAGCAGCTCCTGGGATAAAGCATATTCTGCCATCTGCCAACAGACCAGTTAGTTTTACCACTGTTTATTCATAGAACTCTTAAACTGTTTCTTTATTGTTTGTTTGCTGATATTTACAGAATCAACATTTGACACTTCACAGCCTTAAATATTTCTCAACAGTTCTAACATAGAGGGCATAAATCATTTCTCAGCCATTAAACTAAAGGACCCTCTCTGTGTATGACCCTCCACTGCTAAACATTCTGCGTTTGCAAACCTGCAGGGCGTTGTTCTGCAGCAAGAACTGCACTGTGTGTGTGAAAATGGTGAGTGTGAGATCAGCTGGAGGCTCCCTGGAGCTTTTGCTGTGTTCAGATGGCTCTATGTGCTCCGTTGTGTCCTGCTCTAAGAACTTTGGGTCTGCCAGAGAAACACAACAGCGAGCTCAGCTCTGTTCCTTAGACTGCACTTTAAAATGATTTTCATTCAATTTTAATATTTTTCCCTTGAAGAAAGAAACAAAAACTTCACCTTGTTCAGCTGTGGGAGACTGTTCAGGAATTTCTGGCTCCTTTTCCTTCTGCTTAGCCCTCACTTCTTCTATGTTGTCCGCGCTTTTTTTCATTCTGTTGTCTACATTTCCTTTATTATTGGCCTCATTTTCAAAAAGTAGACTCTTGGCCTCCAGGAATGCTTTCTCCGACAGGATGAACTCCTTCAGACTTAAATGCAGCAAACCTTGATAGCAGATACAAACAGAAATGTTGAATAGTTGTGTTGAATAGTTAAATGTGCAGCATACATGTTATATTTAACTATTTCCCCTAACCCCTGGCTTTATTTACAGCTGCTAGAGGTCAAATGTTAAGCTATCAGTTAAAGTAAAGCTTCACTTAATTTCTTCCAATGGTTAGTCGGAGTAGAACTCCTGTGTGTTACTTACTTCTATTTGTGCTTTGCTTTAAATCTATCTGTTCTTCCAGAAACAACACCAATTATAATCTATGTAGAACTCATGTTTAAAAACTGCTTCACTCCAAACATAATGGTTTAGAGTCTCTCAATTTCAGTCCTTGAGGTCTGATGTCCTGCACCTTTTATAGATGTGTCTCTGCTTCAGCACACATTGAGTCATCAGGTCGTTAGGAGAACTCTGCAGAACCTGACTGCATATTGACGGATGGATTCAGCCATTAGATTGAGGAAGCAGGGACACATCTAAAAGGTGAAGGACCTCGAGGACCAGCATTTAGCCCCAACATTAATAACTAAATAAAAAGCTCCGAACTGACCCAGCAGCGTCCAGGCCACGACACTAGGCGGGTCTACACTGGTCGCCCGCTCCAGGAAGGTCTGGGCTTCTTTGTAATGCTCCAACATCACAGCTACAACCCCACACATCATCAGGCTGGACAACCAAGAAAAGACATAAACTATATTAACAACTGGACTGCCGTACAAAGATGGATGGGTGTTGAATTTAAAGACTTGATCATCAAAGAGAAACCTTTACATATTCTACTCAGATAATCTGACCTCACTCAATATTGATTAAGACTGATGGTCTCTTTAAAGTGTGAAATAGTTCAATAGATGGAAATTAAATTTGTTGTTTGAATAAAATCATATTTGCAGCATATAGGAAGCATCGCTAACCTGGGTTGGTGTGTTTGCTGGGTGGACACAGCGTCATAGTAACACTCTTTGGCTTTCATGTAGTCCCCCATTAACATGCACAGGCTTCCCCACTCATACTTGCATAAAGCTTCATCAGGGTGCATCACCACTAACTGAAGGTAAACACACAGAAATGACCGTTAGTTTACCAGCCGGATTCGGTGGTAACCTGCATTGAGTTTTTGATACAAAAATTAAAATAAACAAAAGTGTTATCTTCTTGCAGATCTGTGGTGCTTTAAAGACTGGAAATTTGTCCCTATTTCCATACCTCTTGGTAGTACTGGGCCGCTTGCTGATAATTCCCAGTTAATTGGGCCTCTTTAGCAAACTGTCTTAGCTGACATGGTTCAAACTTTATTTCATGTATGGACTCTTCTTCAACAATATTGGAGGAAATCTGAAGGGAAAGTAAAATAAAAAATAGAGATTACCTAACAAGCAAAAGGATCTCCTTAAATGAATGAGTGTCAGTGTGTCACCTTGTTCAGAGCCACATGCGTTTCATCAACCAAGTAGACGTAGAGCTTGCTGACAAATTCTTTCAACTCTTGAGGATTGGTGAAAGCCTCCGTCTGCTGCATCTTGTCACGTACAATTCTTACTACAGCCCTCTACAAGCCGGAAACATATAGACTTACTTTTGTTGAGCAGAAGAGGATCACTTATAACAGATATATCATGGATCCATCCATTGAGATCATCTTGTTGCTAAGTTGCTAATCTGACCTTCATTTGTTCTTTGAAGGTGAAATATCTTCCAGACACATTAAGGCCTCCCATCACCTCAGCCAACATTTGCTCATGGCTTAGGCTTTCCACAGAATTGTTATTTGATCCAAGTAATTCGGCATACTGCTCAGAGATGGCAGCCACTGTGTCGCCAACCTGCCTGTGAAAATATTGCACGGCCTGCAAGATCACAAATAAGAGATGATAGAGTAATAAAACCTTGCCTGACTGCAAGAATCACTTATTATATTTATATTTTTTTTTTTTATTCACTCTGTCTGCTCTGCTAGGACCAGCTGGGTGGTCAGGTCTGGGAGGGATCAGCGCCTTCACCCTGCAGAAATTGAAAAGACATCTTTTAGGCAAATAGTCAAAAAGGAACAAAAAGGCTCAGTGTCATTACAGGTGTTTGTTTTGTTTTGTTCATTTTTTTTTTGTCAAAGGAACAACATAGTTTTCCAGTGTTGCAACCCAGACTTCATTCTTCATTACACATTTAACAAATCAGTGTTTCCATGGTAACTAGAAGAGGCACAACATGGCATGTGAAGGTCTTTTGTTCAGAAAGTCATCTGAGGCAAGAAAACAATACATATTTAAGTTATTTGGAACTAAGCATTTTTAGCAGACTCCAAATTGTTCGTTTTTGTTGCATTAGACAGAAGTTTTATATTCTCACTCCTGTGTGGAGTCAGTAAATGGTTTGAAGTGAACTCCATCTTAACAAACAGTGTCCTATTTTTATCTTCCTAATCTGTTAATGGTGGCAAAGACTGAAGAAAGTATTTAGGAGGACAATTTCATGGTTTAGGATGCTTTTGAGTCTTTTGATATACTTTTTTATGTTTGTTCTCTTCTGTGTTCTCCAATCCCTAAAAATCACTAAAACCAAAAAAAAAAACTGTTCTAGTACAAACACTATGTATGATTTATGTTTTTTTATTATTTTGTTTTTTTATTATAAGAATTTCTAAAGAACCTTCTGCATTTAGATTATCTTTCTTTCTGCTTGAGAAGAATAAAGATAATAAACATACTATGATTTTAGACACTATTTAACTTATAAGAAAAAGTTGAAGTTGTTCAACATCTCTCTCTTCTAACTTATTGTTCAGATTTAAGATTTTCCAATAGCTTATCTCCCTGTGAAACAAAATCCCAGACAGATAACTTTAAATTAAAAGAAGTGGAAGCATAATAATACTGATACTAAGATAGTTGTTAATAGTCAGTATTTTATCTTTTTAGAAATCAGTCCACTTATACATCTACAATACTGACTTGAATCCGAGTCGGCCTCAGCAGATGGGCGCTCACACTGAGCCTTGTTCTGCTGGAGGTTTCTTCCTGTTAAAAGGGAGTTTTCCTCTCCACTGTCGCTACAAGCATGCGCAATGTGAAGGATAGCCTTCGAGTCAATGAGTCACTGCAATCAGCTGGTTTTACTTAGATAGAAAACTTTGAACCAGTCTGACTGGATGATCTGGTTGAATTGTCTCTTTAAAGTGCCTTGAAATGGTGTGTTGTGAATTGGCACTATATAAATATACTGAATTGAATCTGAATTGATTTTGATTATTTATTAGGATTTTTTTGGAGGGGAGAGTTTACATTTCTTATTTGCTATTTGTTATTAAATAAAAAGCTGCGACAGTTTACTTTTATGGCTTTATAAAAGTGAAGTTTCTGCTTCACTCCCTTGTTTTGAAATAGAATAAAAAAACACAACAACAGAAGTTTTATATTTTTCTTCTTGTGCTCTAAGAAAGTACCAAAGTATGTCATAAATTAAAACAAACACTGCACTGATCGATCCTGATTTCATCCCTTTTCCCCTTTAATTAAATACAATCAATTATCCACAAAAATAGCAGCTCCCTATTTTTTGTTTCATTTTCACAAATTTAAACACATCATGAGGAAGATTTCCACAGTTCACAATGTGCTCACATCAAAATAAAAGAATCCAAGTAAATCATAGCTGTTTAATGATGCAAGAAAACAGGTAGAGTTGAAGCTCCTCATACCATTTGAAATGATAGGGTGGTCCTAAAATAAGAAGATGCAGATGCCAAAAACTGAAATCACCAATCACTATGTTTAAGGACCACTTTACTGTCCCTTTTAAGAAAAAAAAACACAATGATATTTATAAAGTGACCAGATTTATGGGCTTCAAAGCTTGAGGACGATGTAACTGCGTAATCGTGCACAGGGAACTGCAAAAGGTTTCTGGTGATTTTTTGACACTGCAAATGTGCCCTTTAAATGGTGTAATACTTTTGTAAGTAAGAAAAACAAAAATTTGGACAAAATCAACACAATCATGTAATATGGGGATCAGTTAAACCATCAAGCGGTGGTGTACCTTCTAGCCAGTTCTTCAGCGGAGGGTTTTGGCACCAGCGGTTTATTCAATGATATCTTGATGATAATGTAAGTTTTGGCCTTCGAGTACATCTGTTAATGAAAAAACAGTTGTGTTTTTAAGTGAAATAAAATATACAAAAACATCTGAACATATGTACCTGTGCTGCTCATACAGTCTAAAACTGTGCCACAGCTAAAATCAAGGTGTGTGCAAAGCATACTTAATAAGTAGTTTTTTCAGTGTTACTGCAGCCCTGAGCTGCTGAGGAAGTGAATTTAATGGTAACTTACATTTTCTTCTACATTTACTGGCCACGCACTGTCAGAAAAGCTTTCAGGAGTGCCATCTTCTTCAGGCACCCTGTCGGGATAGACAGCTTGCTGTCATATAAAAAAAAAAAATCAGACATCACATGATGACACATTTACAACAAATAATTTCTTATTGAAAGTGTGAATTAATCTTTACTGTAAAATCTGCCCATTACTCACCTTTTTAGCTGACTCTTTGCTATCTTTGCCTGCCCTACTCACTCCTTTCCAGTGCTTCGTTATTCTTCCGGAAGCACTTGCAGCAGAGCATGCCCGATCTTTAGCCTGTATGGCTGCAGCCCTCGCCTGCTTCTTTAACACACTGGCTTTCCGCTTGGTCTGTAAGTGGGAAATCAAAGCCAAGTCCAGTTTACCAACAAGGAAGAATGTCATGCTATAAACAGTATGTATATGATCCTTTATAAGAAACTCTCTCATGTAAAATAATCACTAGACCACCCTTGTATTCTTCTTCTCAATGTCTGATACAACTAAAGATACTTTTTTTTAGAAGTATAAAAATAGCAACACAAATAGTTCATAAAAGTTAAGTTCAAGAAACTGATATCTTACCATTTTCTGTTTTTGCTTATAGTAATGAAAATCAATTTAGTTACATCAATAGCTGTGACATTGTATCGCCAAATTTTTTGTCTATTTTGTTCACATGATACACACAGGAGTTAGTACTTGATTGCCAAACCATTGTTTTTGAAAATGAGGGTGGTCTTACTTTTTTCCTATGACTGCATATTTCAAGCACTAAAATCTAAAGAAATGTAAATGCTAACAGACATCTTTGACATCTGTATTTTTCTGACTTTGTTTAGAAGCTCAGTCTCAAAGAAAGGCTGAACAGAGAATGCTCCATGGATGAGAGAGACTCCAGGATATAACAATCGGCCCACGTCGACAAACGCCAAACCATGGAAGGGGATCTGGGGGTTGTCCTCTCCTAGCTACAAGCAAACATATATAAAACATTAATCAGATGCTCAATATTATGAACTAATAAAAAGCTTTTCTTTTTTTTTTTTAGGAAATTTACCATTTTAGGATGATTAAAGTGTTGTCTTAAAATCCTACAGGTTTTTTTTTTACCTCTTCTAGTGGAACTGAAGACCTCATTATCTCCACAGTCCACGGTCGGCTCTCTAAGATTTTCTGTTGTAATCTAAAAAAAGTAATCAAACAACATGAGGGCAAACCACCTTTACTTTTTATATTTGCTTCAAAAATATAGCTTTTAGACTGAAACAAGTATGTATTTTTGGAGATCTGTTACACTTAAATCCTGTTCTGGTCTTTTTTATCTTGACCTCTTTTTATCCTGATGTGATCAAATGAATTATGAGTATGGAGACTGTAGTATCATAATTTTCTAATGTATAAATTTTGCTTAAAGGGCAGGACAAAACAGTAAGGAGATTTAAGGTCACATACTCTATTAAATGATCAATTAAAACAATGGGACATTTACCTTATCCTTGGCACCGTTTGTGCAGAGTTGTTTTGATATTGATATTGTTTTTATTTCTAAGCAATTATGCCAATGTTAGTTGAATGTAGATCTAATTTAAATTTAGGTAAACAAAATATAATAATCAACCTTAAACTGCTAAAAAACAAAAAAAACACAAAAAATTGAAATTTTGCTCTAAAATAAGAACATAATCCTGAATGTTCTATAGGATTTTAAAGTACTTCTCAAAGGTTTAAGTTCCTTACAGACTTGTTTTTGTCACGGACTTGATAATAAAGAGGAGTAATATTTCTGACTGACCTGGAAGTTCCACCAGCATCGAGGAAGCATCGTATCTCTGTGTCCCAACTCACCCTGGTCTTTGTGATCTCTGCCTCATTACGAAACGACTGCTCCTGTAGGGACATTTACATCACAGACTCTCCATTTTATGCATGCCAGCCATACATATTGCTCCCAAATAACATTTATTAAAGTATTGTTTAGAAGTGCATGAAAACTTCTTTCTAAAATTGTTCCTTTTTCAAATAAAACAAAAGGTATTCATTTGCAGTGAACATTTTGGTTCTGATGTTTAAAACATGTTTGGAGTTACCTCTGAACTGGTTAGCTCTCCATCCTCATGTTCAATGGGCTCTGGCTGGAAAACAGCTCCAGGTAAATCATGGTTAGCTGGCACCAACAGGGCTTGATCGGGCTTCTTTCTCTGATGATCTTTGGCCTCCCTCTGCTCCCCTGCCTTCAGCTGTCCTTCACAGAACATCAGTACTTGATCTCGCTGAAAAACAAAAAAGGGAAAAATACTCCATGTTCATTTTTTCCCCAGAAAGATTAAGATTAATTATTTTATACCTTTTTGAGTGGGATGGCTCTAAACCAGGAGTCTGTAACGTAAGAGGTGGAAGAAACACTTTGGCCCTCAGTCTAGCTAAATAAAACAGGTTTAGAGCCACTAATGTTTGATGAACTTTTGACATATCTACCATAGGAAATGTGTTATGTCTAATGAACCACTATCTATTAGGTTTTAAACAGAATAACAATAAAATAAAAGAGATAAAAGGATGGGTACATTTTCCTTGATGGGAACTTAATGTTTTTCAGCAAAATATGAAAAAAAACTAATAAAACAAGAAATATTGATCATAAAAAATATTATAGATACTTTCGTTTACCTTCTGTCATAGATACGTTTACAATTATGTTAATGTAATCTCTAAACCTGCTAAAACCTGCAGTGTTATTATAACACAATCTTTATGATTTTTTTGCTATCCAAAGAGCCACTTTGGAAAGTCTTGTGGCCCCAAACCCAAAGGTTGCAGACTCCTGCTGTAACAAAACATATTAGGACAAAATCATAAAACTCACATCTGCAGTTAGAGGAACCTCCAGGGCAGCGGTGTATGTAAAGGGGCTGGGAGCTAAGTCCGACGGCAGCGTCCATGACTCCGGCACAGAATACGCTGATTCTACTGTTACCTTCATGAAGGTGAAGGCTGAGAGTTCAGCTTCAGACAGCAGAGGCTCCAACACGCTGACACAAACATCCAGGGATGGCTAGATGGAAATAAAAGATGCAGCAAATTAATACTAAACTGGATTTTTTTTTGCCATTTTTTCACAGCCATGCTTAAAAGGTTAAATGAACATTTCCTTTGTTTTCTAAGATTGGAAGTTGCTTTAAAACATTGTTATTTATCAAACCCCTTAAGACAAATACTGTGAATTAAATTTCCAACTGTACTATTTGACCCTTTAAAACCAAGCGCATCACATTTGACACAGTGATCAGTGCGATCATTATGTTTTTCATTTGTCAGAAACTGCAATTAAAACTAATGTGAAAAAAATAGAATTTTCTGAGAATTATTTCACGGTCCAGGCCTTAAGGTGTTAAATTCAAAAGAAAATTCCAATCATTTATTTTGCTAAGAACGTAGGTCTTAATGCTTCAGGATATGTGGTACATAAATAAATTTTGTCTGACATGATGCCTGTTTAATGATCTCTTGTTATAACAAATGGAAACGCTGCATCGACACAACAAAGTCTAATCTTCAGCAACTGATTAAGCTTCAAACAGAACCTCAATCTCTACCTCCACCATTAATATTTTTTATCAGTGAGTCAGCAACTAACCTTTTGGTTGAACCACAGCTGAGATTCTGTGATCCCAGGACTGACCACTGGGTTTACTGGGATTGTGCATGAAATGTCGCGCTGACCTGTGGGACAACAGAGAATCATTCTGGCAGTGAAAGTCCTCATTTCTCAAGAACAGTTAACAGTTTTCCTTTAACCTTAGAATGGATCCTCTCTTCTGTCTAAACACAAAAATCTTTAAACAATTAGAGGAAAAGCTGTACCTTGCAGGAGGGGGAACAGGTCGACCACAGCTTGGCCCAGGACAACTGATTTCACCTTAGCTTTTTTTCCCTCATGAAGGACCTCCATCACTGTAACTAATGACAAAAGGATTGGTCACTGCAATTATCTCTACTAGACTTGTTTAATAAGTGGAACACACTTGACTTAAATGTGAGGTATATTCGACATGTTCAACTTACATATGATTGGTTTTTGGGCTATATTACTGAAAGCCTGGGCGTCATTGGGTGGATTATAGGAGCACGTAAAGTTGTATTCAACAACGCGTTCCTCAGGGTTCACGTTTTTCTTATCTGACTCTCCCAGCATCACTCCATCCATTGCAACTTGTAGAAACGTCTGAAGACTGTCTGCATTCTTTCCGTGCTGAAAGTAAAATCAAGAGATTATAATACAACATTAAAAATATTTCGACACAGTTTGTATGACTTGGTCTTTGATAGAAGTCACATAAGTACTATCCTTAAGCATTTAATTACAGAGCCTAGATAGCTAGATAGCTGGATAGACAGATAGATGATTAGGGCTGCAGCTAACGATTTATTTATTTTTTTATTCAATTAATCTGTCGATTTTTTTTTTTCTGTGAATCGATTAATAATTGGAGCCAAAGGCTCCTTAAAGAAGATTTTTTTAATTAAACCAGATGAAACTAAAACTTTTCCACATGAGGAGTTCTGGATAGAGCTTATTGATGAACAAATAATAAATTAAAAAAAAACTTAAATACAAAGTGTTTTTATATATAGCCTACTTTTGAGCAGTTTTTATATAATTATTGCTTTAAGTAGGTCGTTTTGTCAGCTAAAGGCATGTGTTACAGTCTCTATAATCCAGTTAATGATTACTCGATTATATAAATTGTTATTATTGATTAATCACGATTAATCCAATTAATTGTTTCAGCCCTATAGATGATAGATAGATAGAATTGCTAGTGTTGCTACATGACCTTTAAAGATAAAGTTTACTTTTACAATTCGAATGTTTTTATATTTAGTTGCTTCTACTCTGCTTTTATTTTCTTATTTGATTGTTAAAAATTAATGGTCGTTGTTCTTTATACAAATAAACTCGGCGGGCCTTTAAACCTTACGTTTAAAGCAATTAAAAGTATGAAAGCTGATTTTCCGTTATTGGCCGTTGTTTATTCCAACGACGCCGTCTTTACTAAAGTGACTTTAGTTTACAGTTAAAGTAATTTTTTAACAATCTTACCAGGTTATGTCCACGTTTCACGGTTATTTTTATCGCCAAATGACTTTTTTCAGTTTCTTCAGGCCTCTCCATTTTTCGAGCCCAGTGTGCCCAGTTAATTTACAATCCAACACTAAAAGGCCTGTGTCCATGGCAACACGGCGTCTAGTTTTGGTGAGTTCAATGCGCCTCGGATAATCAAATTGCGCTAATGTCGTGGGAAAAAAGTATTCAACTATTCATCCTAGTTAAATAAACGGAGATCGATGGATTTCACTCAGTCGGCACATTTATTCAGATCTTTGCAAAGAGAGAACAGTCATCATGGCACAGCATTCTACTCTGTTCTGATCTGGGCAGGGTTTGTCCCCCCCTAGTTACAACAATGGAAAGCAGTCAGAGTCATAACAAATTACACACACTTTGCTTAACAGTAACATGTTATGAATAAACCTCGAGAAAGAATCTGGATTGTTATGGGAAGAAGCTATGTCTGGTCTACAAACAACATTCTGCAGGGAATGGTGTGGCCTTGAGAGAGAAACAGACTGAGGGAAAACTTTTATAGTGACTAAATATGAATATTAATATATAATTAGAGAAAGAGATAAATTTTCCCACAACAGTCCACCCTTTCGATTATAAAAGGATATGATCCTTGTGTAATCCATATCATAAAAAAAGGAAAATTAATGAATATAAAAAACTAAGAAACTAAAATTGTGAGTATGTAAAGAAAGCTAAAAACTACAAAACTAAAATAAAAAAAATTAAGAAAAATAATAATTAAAAAATAATAAATCAAAAATCCACAACTGCATTAAGTCGGTGGACAATGTTAAATGATTATAATAGATGGAAAAATTATGGAAAAGATTATGATAGCTAAAATATGTTGCCAATAAATAGAGCCCTGGAATCACACCTTAGTTGGCAAAAATATTTACTGTTTTCCCCCATTATGATACTTTTATGGTAAAGTATCTATTTGCTGAAAATTTTAATTTTTAGTTCTTATCATTATCAGTTACCCTTTTTGTTTCCCTGGAAAGAGAAAATTTCAAATCAGTCAAAACAATAGACCCCTTCATCTCTACAAACTGTAAGTCAAATTATTAATCTGAGCTTCATTAAAAGTAAAAAAAAGGATCAATCTCTATGCAAAATCTTAAAATCATAACACAAAGATGTTTCACGCAGATGACGAGTTCAGCTCTTCAGAATCAGGGTCAGTCAAAGCACACATTGAAAAGTTGGAGGATTTAATCTCAGCGCTCCTCTTTCCCAACGGTAGCTGAGACCCGATCATCAGAGTTCATTCTCTAATCCAGAAATCTCTGCCAATACTGACCATCAGCCATCAGGTGCTCATCTAACACTTGGACTTTCTTTTATTATCAAGAAAAGTAATATCAAACACTTAGATACTAAAAATGTTAATCTTTGATTAAAATACAACACATCACAACACATTTCCCTTCTCATTCATGTTGTATGATTAAACAATCAAAAGCCAAACTGATGTCAGACATCTTCAGGTGGGCGTCTTCATCTTTCTGTTGATGTTGGTCCCTTATACAGGCGACATTTTGTACGTGGTTCAATGGGTGGTCTGCAGAGCAGCTGGTCCTCAACACATCAGGTGGACTACTGATGTGTTCATTAACCAATCAGAGGGGATTATTCTGCCCCTTTATTCTGATTTGTTTTGTTGAAGCTTTTCCTGGTTCCTTCCAGATGAGCTCTGATCACTTTCTTTTGATGACTTTGAGCCACACCTCCTCCTGCTGAAGGATGGAAGGATGGCTGAGAAGGTACTCCATCAGGATCTCCAGGCACCTTGGTCCCTCTGTAAAGCCTTCTCTGACTAAGGGGAAAAAAGGTCTTGTAGGTCATTTTAATGTGTCACCTGTCAGTCCCAGTCTGGCCAGAGGTCAGTGGTCTGGCCCGTTCTGTGGTCCAGGAACGGGTCGACCCGTCATGAGCTCATGGGGAGGAAAACTGGGAGTCAAAGTTACCAACATGCTGAATTAAAGGAGCTGAGGGAAGGACACTTTTACAGAATGTACCAAAACAAAAAGCCTATTTTTGCTTACAGGTAAAGGCAGCAATATCTATTTTTAAACATTTGTCAAATAAACCCAGTGAAGTAGCGCTAAATACCGCATTAACAAATAATATCCTTCATAAAATCCTATGATAAAACTTTTATGAGTGATCAATAGTTTATTTTCGGGAAGATATGCTATGATATGTATTGATCCTACAAAGCTTTGATGAGAGGAGGAGATGTGAGAGGAGAGGATTGAGGAGAAAGCCGGAGCTAAACAGATTACACACCGCTGCAGGGATATCTCCTCCAAAATGTCCTGAGCTGAGAGCCTTGCTGTTTCTTATCTTTCACAGATCAAAGGCATTTTCTGTAGCAGCTGCATGCCGCATCCCACAGCCATCATGAAGGCGCTAACAACAGGTGAGTTATTCCACAAGAAATGCATGCGTGTGTAGAAGAGTACTTTCCTTCTCCTCAAAAGGACTTGATTTTCACTCTCTCCCAAGGTGCAAATGAATCGCCCTTAACTCACTTCGCCAACATTATTATCTGACTCATTGGCAGCTCTGTGTGGGTTCATCCTCTGATTTTTATCCTGTTTGGTGGAAAGTGTCTGCCTGGACTAAATTAATGAACATCCGCTGTTTTAGAGTTTGGATAAAGTAAAAGCAGGAATCAACAGAGGATGGAGACTGAGTGCTTTGGCAGTTGTTGCACAGTTCTTGTTTTTTTCTGGAAATTTCAACAGAACAGCATCCAAACTAAACCAATTCAAAAATAGATGGAACAGGGCATAAAAAGTAATATGTCTCTTTCCTGGTGCTTCAACAGCTCCTGCAACTCATGACACAATGGTGCAAAAACATTACAAGACTGTAGTGGTTTTCACCAGGAAATCCAACACATATAACAGCCCACGGGTTTTACCTTCTCCTTTACATCTGCAAACTTTACCATCCTGCATCAGAACAGTGCCAGGTTCCAATCCCTTTAACGTATACTAAAACAAATGTTGGCATATTTCATTATCTGTGACATTTAATATGCCACGAATAGGTCTTTTCTGCATGTCAATATTGTTTTTTTAGGTTGTTAATGCAGGTTTTTCATTGTCTGGTGCATACCAATATGATAAACAATGCATTGATATTCTATATTTTTCATAGTTGTAATAATTTAAATACTATCTTATTTTTTTTATATAAAGTAAATTGTTTTCTACCGTAAGTATTTGTCTGTGCTTTCAGTTCATAATCGCTACGATATTTTAGATTAAAGGAGTTCTTGGACCAAAGCACCAGCATTAGAGTAGAAAATATCTGATATATAAGACTGCTGCAGATTTCAAATACTTAACATCTTTTTTACATCTACTTTACATCAAAATGTAAAAATCTCTATTTGGAATGCAGTGATCCAAACGTTTTAGCTGAGAATTCTATGAGCTGAAACAAGATAACTGTGATGGAGTATTTTATGCTATGTTTACAGCCACGTGTCGATGTATTCATTCAAAATAAGCTTTTACTAAATTACTCAAACTTCTATGATTTTATTGGATTTAATTAATCATTTTGAAAAAGAGGAAAACAGAAATGCATTGATTCAAAATTTGTTGAAAAATCAAGGGAAAAATGTTGAATCAATATTAAGCCCCTTTTTTTTATCTAATAACTTTAAAATACATCCAGTACAACCACCTCCCTGTAGAAGTCATACAATAATCTTACGTTATAAAACAATATTCCAGTGTCTTACAGAGTTCTGTTTAAAGTGATTTGTAAATGGAAACACACTTGCTGAACTAAAAACTTCATAAGACATGGCCGTGCATCTGAGCTTGATTGGAAGAAGAAGCTTCGTACCTCCACGGCTCATGTGGGAGAATCTGCAGATGAAACAGTTAATAGCTGTTTTTTCTAGAAGGCTAGTCTGTTTAAAAGAGCGGTCAATGACAAAGCATTAAAAGAAAAGCCAATGGAAGACACGGGTGAAAAAATGTGCCTTGAAAAAGATGAGATGCTGAATGTTTTGGGAAATTAACACTGGACACCACACTAAAAAACTACTCACTGTCATTGCACATGGTGGTGGCAGCGTTATGCTATGGGGTTGGACTTGATGGAGACATAAATGGAGCTAAATACCAGGAATTCATGAAGGAAACCCTTTTAACAGCTGACAAATATTGGGACTGGAGTCCAGACTAGACAATGAATTTATACATAGAGCCAGAGCTGCACTGAAACATTTCTAACATGATTAAATATGGAAAGGTTTTAGAAACGTTCATGTGTAAATGTTACAAGCATTTAGTATTAAAAATGCTTCAAAGCGTGTTGGTTAATCTTAATTTTAAAAACAGAACAGACAAGATGTATGCACTGTTCCTCTGTAGAAAACAAAGTATAGTAGCTGCTAAAAGAAATTTCCCCATTCACTCACACATTCACAGTGTGGGAATGACAGGCTGACTGAATGTAGAGTGAAGTACTTTGGAGTCCCCTGACTCAAAAAGGCACTATATAAGTACAGGCAATTTACCATTTACTGATTAATTAAAGCCTGAAATGTTCCTTTCTAGCAGCAGGCAGAGTGTTAGAAACAAGGCTAAGGTACCATGAGGTGTTTGTAGAGAACATTAAGGTTCATAGGAGGTTTAGGGTTGTTGTTTTTTCATGGGGGTGAGTTTAATATTTGGTCCAGAGCTTAAAAAAATATCATTGCCAAACATACAAGGAGCAGAACAGTCAATACTAGCATCATAATGAGTAAGCCATGTTAACCATTTCCTTATAAATCTGCCTTTAGATAATATCTATGCGTACGCTCTGTCCAAGACACTGACAAGGGTCTCATCTCCGACAACAGTGGGTCTCTACTCTTCTTGTCAGGATCAACTGGATGTGATTCTCGATCAAATTGAAGGTAAATGATGTGAAAAGTGCCGGCAGATTGTTTCCAGAACAGCCACTTAAACCTGTGACTAAGTTCAGTCTTCAGGTTGCCACTGTGTGACGCTGATGACTAGTTTGCACCTCAGATGATTTGCATGTTTCGCATGTTACTGAACATGACAGGGATGTGTGAAGCTGTGATGTGGTGACTGTGCAGCTACGCCTCTTCATGTTCATACTGTGCTGACACAATACTGCAACACGCTACAGAATATGTAGTCAAACAGTTAAAGGCTGAATTAGCTTCTTTGAAATGATTTGGCTGCATTGAAGATTCAGATATGTCTCCCTTTTTGCTCTTTACTCAAGGTCAGCTAGTCAAGGATTGGCTTTTTTTAACATGGTGAAAAAACTTCTTTAAAGTTTTCAGGAATGTGAAAGATATACCACAAAGTACAAAAAAAAAAAAAAAAAAAAAAAACAGGTGACAAAAATGAATTATTTTCAAAAAATATGTGGTGACAGAAATGTTAAAGTAGAATACAAGTGACAAGTGACGTCTGCTAGGCTAGAGTATAGAAGGTGCAGGAGTGATGACAGGCCTCCATGGAAAAGAAAAGTAGTGCTGTTGTAACTTTTTTTATATTTTCATGTCAAATCTACACTTTTCTCTGACTCTAGTATACAATATCCTAGATTAAAACTCATCCAGCTCTTTAAGTGCAAATGGATTTATTGCCATGATGTGATTATTTATGTTTTAATGATCCTGTATAACATAATGATTTGGATTTGAAATATCTACATCCTTATGTATAATATAAACTGTTTTTTCAGTGATGAGATGTCAGAAGAATCAAGTCGGTGTAACTTTTGCATGATTATAGTGCACTGTAGACATTTTCTTACCTTCCTATTTTCATTTTTACTTTACCTTTTTCCACTGGTAGCTGATGGGTATTCCCTTTTCCTTTCTCAGTAACCTCAGTGGTAACAAAACCGTTTCTGATGACATTTCTCTGCCTCAAGATTATTTATTGGCTCATCTTTTTCCCTCCATGTTTTATATTCTGTTTCAGATGGAAAGGATGGGTTTGGAGAGAGAATACATCGATGCAGTAAAAGACAATAAACTCAATGGCTCTTCTCTGGTCTTTGGTGATGTAGAGGATCTGAAAGCCCTCCTGGGCATGACATTTGGGGAATGGGCATCTTTTAAACTGCACTTTTTGAGTTTTGTCTCACCTTTCCGGTCACAGTCCAGGATCATGCTGCCATCAACTTCTAAGAACCAGCCATCGAAGTTCCTTCAACACGCCGCTCATTATTACTCATCTACTCCCAGTCTGTGTTAACAGCTGCATGTCGGGTAGAAATTAAGAAGTTCAAAGCTGTTGTTCTGCAGTTTGAGGTAAAAATATTCTTTGAACTTTTGGCTGGTTTTGTATGACTTTAATAAGCAGGCAGCACTGTGATATTTAGTTGTTGAAATGTCATGTTTTCATTACATCTCAGATGTATGATCCTGGTTTCAAGGAAATGAGCTAAAAATCTTTATTCACCCCAAGAAAAATTTATTCATAGCTGAACTGAAGCTTAAATATAGTAATGGTCCATTTGATACTTTATACAAAGTGTTTTACAATAGATGCTTGGATTTTAAGGCAATTACAGCTCATTGCTTTTCTAGAGGGCCTCATTTTAAGTCCTAAAATAAAATAAAGACTGCTTCCCAGTCTACTATAACTGTTAACTTAAGGTGAGTCATATAATAATTCAGAACACCTTATTCATGAGTGAAACAGTCAGTTTGAAATTTACTAAAGAGGTTAGCAACCTCAATAAAGCATTCTTTATGTCAGGAGAAGTTAATTAGTGAAGCAATATTTATGTATGAGCACAAGACAATTATACACCAAGTCTTCCCACAGCATTAGTGGATTCAATCTCAGAGGATTCTGTTTATTAACCACATCCTATATGGCATTTCTATTGCATATTTAACAGTTCATAGAGATAAGAAATAATGATGATTAACCTTAAAACGTTAAAGACAAAATACTGGTAATTTATAAAAATGAGAATAAGATTTAAGCATTTTTATTTCAAACAAGTGGCTACAGTCCAGACCATTATTTCTGTTTTTTCTCATGTTCAACAATGAAAATTATTTTATTTTTATTTTTATTTGCAATGTTTTTATCTTTCTGTGAAGCACTTTGGTCTCCCTGGTGTTGTTGTAAAGTTCTATATGAATAGACTTTGATTTGATTTGAAAATGGATAAACATATAAAAATTTAATTCTTTATTTCATGCTAATAAAAGGCAAACTGGTGAATTAAATGTAAACACAAAGTGTTCCACAGTAAAATCCTCATTTCAACAAATCTTATTTGGTGTAGCCTTGTTCTTAAGCACATACTGACATTTAGAAATAGCCAAAGCAATGTGAGGAGTTGTTAGTGACATTTTCACCTCAAAGCTGCTAGAATATAATTTCATTTGCTCTCATTCAAACTTTTTTTTTTGCTCTGAAATGTTAAAAGGTTAAACCAAAACTATTTAGCAACCCAAAGCCTTTACAGTTATAAGAATATAAAATCAAAGTCATAAAGCATAGATTAATGGATTTCGAATCATGTGGTTATATGAACACAGAAGCACCTTTGTCATGTCGTCTAGTAGGGTTACATGTTTAAGACAACTGTTAGTTTAACATTATGATACAGACACCATATATTCCTTTTTGATATTATAATACATAATACTTTAAAGATTTGCTCATAAGCCTATTTTTCTGAAAAATACAGTTATTTGGTTAACGATACAAAGGCATTGAAGAGGTTTTGTATTCAGCAGAAAGACAAACACAGATAAATAGCTATAATGGGTAAATTACTGAATTAGGTTGGATTACAGCAGCTAATCCCATTAAAGCAGTTTTTGTTTTTAAGGCACGAATGTAATCAGGGATACAGTTAAAATATATATTTCACAACAGGCACACATTATGGCTAATATGGAGACATTAAAGGGCAGATAGAGTTAAACATTAGAAAACACTCCATAGAGAAAAATATCAAGTTATGGGAATGTACCATCGAAACATTTCAACAGAAAAACTGTATTTCAAAAGATGAGTGTCGCGTAATTTAATGACAAACATTTGTATGAAGGTATGTTCAATGAATCTCATCTTATGGGGTCAGTAGGTTTGGTTTTATTACAGATGGATCAACTTGCACAGGTGCTAGCGATATTTGAAATGTTGGTATTGATCAATTCGAGAGATCTCCTATGTTTAGTTTTTCTAAAGAGGCTTTATGTTTTACCATAACACATTTCCCAGATGTTTTACCACAGAAAAAGGCCTTACAGGTGGTTATCAGGTGGAGGCTCACTTCCGTCCCAATGACTCGGCCAACTTCTTGAGCCTTTTCTTCAGCTCAAGCGGAAACTTCTCATAACACTTTTTACAAACAGGCTTCATGTCAAACTCTACAAACTTGTTCCTGCAAAGAGGGGGAAAACAGGAATAAAACACTGGAGTATGTTGGGTGTCAGACTGTTGATTGGGTAACAAAACATCTGAGCAAAACACCTTACACCTAGTTTAGAGAGGGTTTTTTTTGTCTGACCTTGTAGTCAAAAAGAATTGTTTTTGAATCTAAGCAGCAGTCCAGTTGAGCTCTGCATGCATACACACCTTTTAGATTCATGCTAGTTTCATGCCATCAACACAAACCTGATTACCAAAGAAATACACAACAAGACAAGAAGTTGAAAAGCAACAGTAAAAAAAGTAAAAAAAAAAAAAAAAAAAAAAAAGATAACCCCTAGGAGAGAGGGAGGCAGCGAAAGAACCGACCCATGGATGGGATGGGAACGGTTTAGAAAAGAGGCTACAGGAAGATAGTTGGCTTTTTCTTGCTGTCTTTAGCGTCTCGCTCACGTCGGGCGAGTCTGCACTTTAACTTATCTCTGAGGTGTCATAAATGCACCGATTGAGGCGTGTAAAAGAAGACATGGGAAGAAAATGGAGTAAGAAAGAAGTAGTGTTGGAGAACCAAAAAAAAAAATGAACCAGGAAGTATTAGTAGAGATTGTTAAAGGAAATGAAGAGCACAAACATGTGGTGGAAGAGTTGTTTGTGAATATATTTACAACCCTTGCGCGCAGATTAAGAAACTGTGCTCTCGATTTATTGATCTGTGCGCTGGGATCAATAAACTGTGTGCCCTGCTTCACATTCCGTGCGCACACAGCTGCTCCAGAACCTTCAGAGTTCGATGCATGGGTCGCACGTACAAGGTAAGTTTAGTCAGTTAATTTCTATATACCGGTAATATGTTATATTATATATAAGCATGATCATTAAAGCATCGCACTGCACTAAGTCTATATGTTTATATATATATAAAACAATTAATTGACTTACCTTGTAGGAGCGACCCATGCATCGAACTCTGGAGGTTCCGGAGCAGCTGTGTGTTCACGGAATGCAAAGCAGGGCACACAAGTTATTGATCCTGGCGCGCGGATCAATAAACCGAGAGCACAGTTTCTTAATCTGCGGGCACATATCAATAAACCGAGAGCACAGTTTCTCAATCCGCGGGCACATATCAATAAACCGAGAGCACAGTTTCTCAATCCGCGGGCACATATCAATAAACCGAGAGCACAGTTTCTCAATCCGCGGGCATGCATCAATTAAACCGAGAGCACAGTTTCTCAATCCGCGGGAATGCATCAATTAAACCGAGAGCACAGTTTCTCAATCCGCGGGCACGCTAACCTGACAACAGCCAGATGCATGTCTCGCTCCGCCCAGCTCCACTCACATACATCTGGGAACCCGCTCATTGAAAGTGATTTCCCCAACCGAATTTATGGTCTGTCCAATCAGGACGCAGGGTGGGTGTGTCCTGGAGTGGAGAAGCGACTCTGAGATTCCAACAACAATGGCGGCTCGCATTGAGGAAGCAAGCGTTAGCATTGATGCTGCTATTTCTTCTGTGTTGTCCAATCTATCTTATATTGTTTCATTAAAAGAACATCAGAGAACGACTTTGAAGGCTTTTGTTGGTGGAAACGATGTTTTCGCCCTTCTCCCGACCGGATTTGGCAAGAGCTTGATCTACCAAACGGCTCCTCCTCTCACAGCGTCACGGGTTAGCATCGGTGTGAGTGGTTGAAATAGCACGTCAATAAAGATGACAGACAAGTGGCTTATCCAATCATATGCAAGGAGTTTTGATAAGGCCCAGCCTTCAGTAAAGGCAATTCCTATGGCGGGTTCCCAGATGTATGTGAGCGGAGCTAGACGGAGTGAGACATGCATCTGGCTGTTGTCAGGTTACGGGCACGCATCAATTAAACCGAAAGCACAGTTTCTAAATCCGTAGGCACGCATCAATTAAACCGAGAGCACAGTTTCTCAATCCGCGGGCATGCATCAATTAAACCGAGAGCACAGTTTCTCAATCCGCGGGCATGCATCAATTAAACCGAGAGCACAGTTTCTCAATCCGCGGGCACGCATCAATTAAACCGAGAGCACAGTTTCTCAATCCGCGGGCACGGATCAATAATCCGAGAGCACAGCTTCTTAATCTGCGGGGTTTTCAATCCAGAATTCCACAGGCTTTTTTTTTTACCCTGACACCCAGGGGGCTCCGTAGAAGAATGCACTTTGTAAAGAATATTTTTACATTTTTTCTAGATCAGTTTTTTTTTTGCATTATTATTGCTCCCCATGAAGTGTCCCCATGAAGAACCACGGGCCCCTATCCTGCCCCCGTGATAAATGTCGTCTAGAACCGCCCCTGGACCTCCCGTCCTGTATTGAGTTTAGTAAACCTATTTTCCGCCTCAGTTCAGCCACGCTGGGTAAACAAAAGCCAGAGAGCGTCAGCAGCGTGTCAGCAGCGCTCCCTGGCTGTCTCCCTCCCAACAAAAAAAAAGGGGAAAAAACAACACTTTCGGGAAGAATAAAGTTAGTTTTTGTCCTGTAGCTGGAAGAACGGCTCGACAATGTGGAGACAGCAGCGGAGACCCCTGGCTTGTCTCGTATTACTGGTGACGCTGGCCGATGCTTATCAATGTAAGTATGATCGCTGCCTTTTGCGGTAAGTGGCTGAAAGCAAAGGGAAGGCTTGTCAGGGGAAATCAAACTCAAACTGTGCAGGAATCCAGCTGGGATAGTTTCAGCACTTTTAATCAATCATGACTCTTTTTATACACGGTGGGAAAAGCCAGGACAACATGAGCCGCTTACAACTAGGGGGGTTATTTCTGGGAAATAACGGTTTCGCAATGAGCTGCTTTCATGCCAGTTCATAGAGGAGCAGTTTGTTTGGTCCAGAAACACATGAGCCATCTGTCAGGAGGGAAGAGAGGAGCTGCATTCCTGCAGGGATCAGCCAGGCTTTGTTGTATTCCTATACTGCATTAATCATAACTGGTAATCTGCCAATCACTAAATCAGTTTCGACATTTGAATGTTCTTTACTGAGCCTGCTTTTTTTTTGTTTTTTAAACCTGAGTATTTGTGTTAGTCCTGAGCCAGAACACAGCTTCCCAGTTCCTGATCAGGCACCGGAGGGCCAACTCTCTGTTTGAGGAGAGCAAGAAGGGTAACCTGGAGAGGGAGTGCATTGAGGAAGTGTGCAACAAGGAGGAGGCCAGGGAGATCTTCGAGAACCACCCAGAGACGGTAAGTGGCCCAATGTGGTGAGATGCTGCTGCCTTTGCAGGACATCTCAGATTTTAAAACCAAATAAAGGAAAAGGATGACAATGAGCACACAAGCAACAGAACTGAAGGAACATTTAATACAATAGGTCTTCAACTGTTCATCTCCTTGAACCCGTCGGACTCAGCAGATGGCCGCTCAAACTGCTCGTTCTGCTGGAGGTTTCTTCCTGTTAAAAGGGAGTTTTTCCTCTCCACTGTCGCTACAAGCATGCTTAGTGTGAGGGATTGCCTTTGAGTCAATGAGTCGATGCAATCAACTGGTTTTAAATCAAAATTTGAATCAATATGACTGTATGATCTGGTTGAATTGTAAAGTGCTTTGAGATGACATGTATTGTGAATTGGTGCTGAACTGAATAGATGGGGAATTGAATTCATGTTTGAGATTTGCTAAATGTAGAGATGTCCCGTTACTATATTGATATTGGAAAGGTCCCAGATCGAGCAGAATAAACTAATATTAGCCTGCATGTAAAATACTCTAATAGGATCACACTGGTAAAGGAACTTCACTTCATAATTTAATTGGCTCTATTATATATATCCAGCATTGTTTTTATTCTGCACACAGAGCCAACAGGATTGCAACAATTTCTGCCAACAGAGTAGCAGACACCCATCCTGGAATAGGTGCAATGTTGGCAGGGTGTTTGTATTTTTGGTTAAAGTCAGAAAGAGCTGTATCATTTGTGCTGATGCTGCATCATGACAGTATTGACATTAGTCAAACTCAGAACGGAAACATCTGTATTAGAAATTAAATACATGTATAGGGACGCCCTAACCCCTACATGGAGAACTATAAAGGGGTAACATCATTTAAGATGAGTGTCCGAACGTCTAGTGGATGAAAAGGTAGGCTGTGTCCAAACGTCCCCCCTAACCACTAGATCCCTCATTCACTATATAGAGTGGGGACTATATAGTGGACTTTATAATGAACTCAGTTAAATGACCAGACAGATGATGATCACTACTTTTCCCTCTCTGTTGATCACGTAACACTGCCGCCATCACCCGATGCTTGCGCCATATTTGTTATTAGTCGCCGCTGTCGGGTAGCGACAGCCTATGGCGACAGTGGACGGCTGTGACAGCAAATCCCATAATGCTTTGTGAGGATAGCTCTCCGCGCAAAGCATTCCAGGATACATCTGCTGGACTCAAAGTTTCCCACAGTGGTTCTTGAAAATTAGTGTACAAGCATGGTCACTAGACGAGCAGAAATATCCCAAAATGCTTTGCAGGAGCTCACTATGCAAAACATTGGATTCGATTTTGGGCCAGAGTTATATGACTAACAGGAAGCCAAAAGTAGTGATCATCTGTTCGAATGGTCAGGTAACTGAGTTCACTATAAAGTCCACTATATATATATATCCCACTCTATATATTGATTGATGAATTTAGGGGTTAGGGACTTAATGGCAGCTGTAAGATGAACAAAAAAGCAACGCTTGGTAGTTGTGTTTCTTTTCATTTCCCCACTGATTCTACCAACAGTCTGGTTAGAGATGGCGCCGTATTCCAAGAAATCTGTGAAGCCGTGAACTCTAACAAGATTCCCAACCCTTTGTATGAGAAATTGACCCACAGCATTACGAATGAGTTTGTGATGATCGGACTAAACATTTTCTTGGCATTAAGCTAAACAATCAGTTGACATGTAAAAACAATCGAATGGTCGTCATGAAGACTTGATGATAGAAAAGATGTCCTTCTTTCCTTTAGCTGTTACCAAGATGTTGTATTTTTCCGCCCTTAGGTGGTGGGGGGTGGGGTGTTATGTCTGTTGTTCTTTTTCTTTTTGTTTTGTTATCTTCTCTAGTGTTTTTTAATGTTGGTGTATTCCTTTTTTCCATTAGTTTTTTACTTTATTCAATTTTATTTTTGCACCTTTAGGTTATTTTCTTAGATTTTCTTTCCTTACAGTTTATTGATTCTTTTTTTAGCCCCATTCAGGTTAATTACCCCCCCTCCCCTAGCTTCTGCATTCACTGTTGCTCTGCAGTTTTCCCATTATCCATCCTCTTTACATGTCTCCAGTTTCCCAAGAAAACAATGGGTCAAAATTTCACTTGAAAGAAGTTTACCACTGGTTCAAATTAATTTTATCCAAAGCAATTGCTTAGGGTGTCAATGATTGCATTAATAGTCATGGTTATTTATTTATCTTTTGCTCTGAGGATATTGAAATTAAAGGAATTTATCTTATGCATTTTCACTACATTTCCTAATATAGACTATGTATTAAAAGTGGCCCAAAAGGGGACGATATAATGATTTAAGTCTTGATTATGAAATATCTGACGTTTTTCAACTTGTTTGATTTTTCTGCAGGAATACTTCTACCCCAAATATGTCTGTAAGTGTTCTATTTTTTCCCCTTTCTTTATGTTTCAGCACCTTTTTTCTGCCCATTAGGCTCATGAAAGCATCAATCATTTGATGCTTTCATGCTGATGCTGATGAAAGCATCAGCATGAAATGCTGATGTATATAGCATGAAATGTATATAGCATGAAATGCTTTCATCAGTCCTTGTTGTTGCAGTGTGTTTGGGGTCCCACCGCGTTGGCATCAACAACCATAACTCCGGTTCAAACATCCCGCCAGACCTTAGAACCTGCGTGACGGGTGAGAGGCTGAGCTTATATGAAATGTCTGTGTTTTTTAAGTTGTTTAATGCTGCTGTTGTCACCAACACCTCTGGGTTTCTGTGACCTTAATCAGAGATCAGTAACCAGTGCACGCCGTTCCCATGCTATAAGGAGGGCTCGGAGCGCTGCGTTGACGGCCAGGCCTCCTTCGAGTGTGTTTGCAAGCCAGGCTGGAAGGGGAAGCGCTGTGAGGATGGTCAGTTCTCAATGGGCATTTTTAGCATTTTAAAATGTTAACAACCTTTAACTTTAACATGGCTTTTTGAACCTAATCTGACATTTTTTTCAACCTTCCAGTGAAGATTTAATCAGCAACATGTTTTGATTTCTGCAGATATCAATGAATGCTCTGATCCTGAGTATCCAGCAGGATGCAACCAAAAATGTCACAACATACCAGGCAGCTTCCACTGCTCATGTGAGGAAGGCTTCTTCATCAATGACAACATCAACTGTATTGGTAAGATCTTAGTCATTTTTTTTGTTTTTGTTTGTAATTTTTTTTATAACTTTATGACCCAGAAACAGATTTTTAACTACAGCTGAAAACACAGGTGGCTTGTTTTTCTGCCTTATCTATTCATTTGGATAGCTAAACCCTTCATGCTTCGAATCACAGAATCTGCTCCCCCAGCTGCTGCCCTCAGGGAGCGCATCGTTTGTTATTTCCGACGCAATGGGCCAGGTGATTTGTTAAAAACACGCCTCAAAGCTGTTTGAAACAGCTTGCAGCCATCAGCTGTCGCATTTTTGTCCGTCTGAACGTCTCCTGCCTTGTTTTGTGTGGGTAGCCAACTGTTTATCTTTTAGTGTTGTCCAGTACAAAGTCTTCACAAACATGGACTCAGGCTCTTTGATGAAGTGGCTTCCTGTTTTTCATTTCCATACCATACATGTTGAGTAACTGCTATTATTCAATGTTAAAGAACAGTTTTATTTCCCTCAACTTCTAGTCAGAATTAGATTTTTTTCAATCTCTCAAATAAAACATTTTTGCATTTGGTGTTTTTGGTGCATAAAATGTAAGAGAAACCTTAAAAAATATAGTATTTGCATTTTTGCTGTATATTGATATTAATGAACTAATATTTTAAGATCTCTTTACAGCTTTTTAGAGCCTAAAGTCAGGTCACATGGTCATTCATGATGAGTTTAAGGAGCCTGGTTAAGGGCCCCTCTGCTGCAGCTTAAACCTCTATCCCCCTGAAAAACTATTGCTTTAGGGTACAGTTCAGTTTTCGTGGAAAAGTCCTAAATCTGTAGAAAGTATTTATGAAAAGAGATGCATAAGAAATCCCGTCGTATTTACTTTTGCAAAAACATTCAAGCAGTTAAACGTTTTCATATTTTATAACACGGAAAACCCAAAGCTTGAACATAGTTATATAGGATTAGAAATGGCTGACTAACACAAAGCAGTGTATTCTGTATTAATGAAGTGGAAGGAAAATAATACTTTTATTTGTTTTTTGTTTTTACTTTTAATAGATAAAAACCTGCAAATTGTGGCGATGCCTTTGTCTTGAGTGATTTCTTTTTGCACATTCTTCTTTACTCATAATTGCTCCGGCTGTTTAGTCATTTACCTTCTGGAACTTGAAATAGTCTCCCTTCTTTTGAAGCCTGTAACAGAATTTCTTCAGTATCTATGTTTAGCCATAAACTTCCTCTCATCATCTCCGACCCGCTTCCCTGGCAGTGCTGAAAAAAGCAGCTCATAAATACACTGCGATCCCAACTTATCACTTTGCAGGTTACTGTTGGTTTTCTTCCTACTCCTAAACGTTTGTATGCAGAAAGCCAAAACTTTCAGTTGTAGTATCGTCTGACTGGAACGACAAATTCAACATGTTTACTGTAAAACAGTGCTGTGCATGGCTTGTATCTAACTACTAAGAAGACCTCTAGTGTTTCTTTCAATTAGGCCTTTCTTGTGCAGATACACTGCAAAAAAAACATAAATCAGAGGAAATAAAATTTTCTTAAAATAAGTGCATTTTTCTTGAATTGAGCAGCTAAGTGAGACACGTTGCCACTATAATAAGACAGTTGACATTTAAAGTAATATCTAATATTTCAAGTGCATAATATCTAATTATCTTATTTTAAGAGTAAATATATCTGATTTTCCTACTCAAACGAATGGAAGTTATTTTAAGAGATTTTTACTCATTTTCAGAAGGTATCTGCAGTGTATGCTGTGGGTCCTTTGCAGCTCCATCATGTAATATGTCCCAATCTTTGGATTTAGTTATAACCTCTCGCTGCCAAGAAGCTTTCCATCACTTTTCCCTTTTTGGTCTCCATGATGCTTTTAGTCTCCTTATCTTTTGCAATAAACCTCAGAATGTTTCGCAGAAAAGCTGATTAATACTATTTAATCTCAAACGGAGAGCTTCATAGCATTGCTTTCTTTTTCGAACATCTGAGTAAAGGGGACTAAATCACCTTGGACCCCAGTGGGCCTCAACAAATGGTCGCTCACACAGATTCTGGTTCTGCTGGAGGTTTTGTCCTCTTGAAGGGAGTTTTTCCTCTCTACTGTCGCTGCATGCATGCTTGATGTGAGGGATTGCTGAAGAGAAGGAAAATCACTACCGAAAGCTCATCCAGAAGTAGTTTAAACTTTTTAACCAGTCTAACTATATTGTCTCTGTAAAGTGACTTTAGATGACAAAATGGGAATTGGTGCTATATAATGAAACTAAATTGAGTAGATTTATAGGCATGTCACACTTTTCAGATTTTTATTTGTAAAAATCCTTTTAAAACTATGTGTCCTTATTTTGCTTTGGTCCTTCCCATTAAATCAGAATAAACCACATTGGAGTTGTCGCTTGTCAATATGTTCAACAGTTCAGTGGCTTTTTCTCATGAATATTTAGCAGTTCATGTTTTCATTTCCAACAATAATCTGTTACCATATTTCCCTGCAGATAGAGATGAATGTCTGTTGTTCCCCAGTATCTGTCAGCACCCAGCTCGATGTGTCAACACGCTGGGCATGTATGAATGTTGGTGTCCTCTGGGATTTAAATACAACTTCACTTCCAGGACCTGCGACGGTGAGATCTTCATTTATTGCTCCCCTTCTAGGCTCTGCTTATCTTAGTATCTAAATCCTACCTTTCAAAACAAATTTATTTTAGATGTTGTTCGCTATGAGATGTGCTCTTTAATTCATTTTTAAAATATACCTTTTTTTTTTTTTTTTTTACAAATCACTCAAAAAGCTCTTTTAAAATCCTTCCTTTGTAATTGTTACAGATGTGGATGAGTGTAATACGTTTGCGTGTGACGGGACCTGTCACAACACAGTGGGCAGCTACACGTGCCACTGTGACGGCCGTCAGGGTTTACAGCTGGCATCAGATGGGCGATACTGTGAGAGCATCCCTGTTTGCGTGGAACTGAACGACTATAAACACCCTGAGATGCTTTACCTGGGGGAGCAGTTTGCAGGGTTTCCCATCATCTACCTGCGCTTTCGCCTTCCTGAGAACACAAAGTAGGTGTTTAACATACGAACACATATGCTGATGAACGTAACTGCCGTATAATTTTAGATTTTTCCACATTTAGGGAACATCTTTGAAGGATTATTTTTTTTTTTTTTACAGGAGTTAAATAAACAAAAAATCACAGAAATGCTGTAGCCTTTAGGTTTTGTTACAGTTCTGTGTTTTTCATTGGTTTGAAAAGATATTTTCTCCTTTTTTAATCTGTAAATCCTGTTTTATTTCTTTTTTAAGGAATCCTCCATTTTATTATACCGTCTGTCTTACTGTTTTCATGAAAATGATCATGTCTGCATTTTAGTTATTTCATCTCATCCTGGCATCTGTTGTTTTAAACACATCTGCTTGAATTTTGCCTCTTCATTAGGTGCTTTATTTTTTCAACAGCACTTTGATTTCTTTTTGCATCAGTATACAGGAGATTCTTACTGTCTATTGCTTAAAAAAAAAAAAAAGAAAAAAAAACTTTAATTAACACGGATAATAACAAACTTTTACAAATTGAATGGCAGATGATGTGGTCCTCAGGTTATGTAACGATAAATTATTAGCTGGTCGGTTCAATGCTTGAACCAGAGGATTAGTAGAAGTGCAGTTTGGACTGGATTTCTCGTGAAGTGGTGCTCTACAAATAAACCAAAACTGAAATAAACAGCTTTTTTTTTTTCCAAAAATGCTTTGCATTTAGTTTACCAAAATGGTTCCTAAAGATGAAGCCCAATATGAGCCTATCCTGAAAACTAAACTTAGGGGAAATAACAGCTTATATGCCTTGATGTTAAAATAGAGGCTAAAAACCTCCATAGATAGATTGCGCAACCATAAGAGATTATGTGTTACGTTCTGTTATTCAGATTCTTTTACTGTTTTAAGCACAAAATTAAATGCAGTAGAATTTTAATCTTTGTTCTTTCCCTCTCTAAAAGATTTGCAGCTGAGTTCGACTTCAGAACTTTTGACCCAGAGGGAGTTGTTCTGTATGCAGAATCTTCCCCAGACTCCTGGTTCATGTTGGGACTGAGGGCTGGTCGCATTGAAGTGCAGTTTAAAAACCAGCACAGCTACAAGGTTACAAGTGGGGGAAAAGCCATCAATGATGGACAGTGGCACGTGGTAAGGCAACAACAAAGAACAGCTCCTTCCCTTCTCGCTGACAGAAACGCTGCTCTGTTCTTGATTGGTCACCTGAGCAAAGTGACAGTTAAGGGATGTTGTCGGGTTGTGATACTCAGATCTCTGTGGACGAGCTGGAAAACAGCATCAGCGTGAAGATCAGCAAAGAGGCTGTGATGAGCATCAACAGCCCTGAGAATCTCTTTACTTCTGTCAATGGCAAACTGGAGACCAAGGTCTACATCGCTGGGCTGCCGAACCGCACAGACAGTGTTATAAAGCCTGTAAGCTGATCCAATCGCAGCAGAGAAACATTCACATTGCTAAATGGATGTTTAACAGATGCTATCTAAACTGCTCGCCGTCCCTCTGTCAGATCAATCCCCGACTTGACGGTTGCATCCGTGGCTGGAACCTTATGAACCAAGGAGCATCCGGGGTCAAAGAGGTCATTCTGGAGAAGCAGAGCAAACACTGTTTTGTGCACGTGGAACGAGGGTCTTTCTTCTTAGGGGCTGGACTGGCCCACTTCAAAATAGACTACAGTGAGTAAGTTAAGTCATGCTTTATTCAACCTATGTTTGGAAAACTATTTCCTTCAACTTTCATGCGTAGATTCATTCTTATTTTGGCAGAAAAACACTTATATACTAATAATGCCAATATCTAAATTGCTAGAGATAAAAAAGATGCATTTAATTTCTTTGTCTTATTAAATGTAACTTCACCAGAATCAAATGCCTCTGTGATTTGAGAATCTCGTTTTGTTAAATTGTGATTCTATTACAAATGCAATCAATTGCTCAGCCCTCGTTTTTAGCTTATTTAAAAACATTTGCATGGCTGCAACAAGTTCTAGCAACAGGGTTAAAAGCTTATTTGTTAGTTAATATTGTTAGTTTTTATGCATTCTGAGTTATGCTTTTTAAAATTGTGCCACATGTTTTTTGTGCTTAAACATTCTCCATTCAACTACCTTTCACATGACTCAGTGCTTTTTTTGCATTGATTTCTGAAATCGTTCTGAATACTTGCTTTCTGTTGACATGATATATCTAGACTTTTTTAAAGTGAGGGTTGCTGATCAGCCATTGGGTGTGCATTGAGATAATTCCTGCTTCTACCAATTGTATAGAATTCGTAACAAGCTTCAGGTTCGTTGTCACTACCTGAAGATGTGATATGAACAGAACCCTTAAGTTCAGGTAGAAATTTGAAGCTACGTTTCATTTTAATCATGCATTTTTGTTTTTTGTGAATAAGCAGGTGATTCTGGGAGCTGGAAGGTGGACGTATCAATGAATATCCGTCCGTCCAGCAGCACAGGTGTCCTCTTTGCTCTTGTCTACAACAACACAGTCCCCTTGTCGGTTGCAGTGGTAACAAAGGGAGAAGATGATGCAGTGGGTTTACCCATGTTAATATTGGAAACACACACTTTTTCACTTCAGATCAAACTTTTTTGTGACTTTATTTGCATTTAATCTCCAGAACCTGCAGGTTTTCCTAGACGGCGTCTCTGTGGCCACAGTGGACTCCTTGATGCTGTGTTACCCCGATCGGCTGATGGTGCAGCTGAACGTGACTCCGACACACATGGAGATCACAGCAAACTCCTCCAGGCTTACCTACATAGAGTCTGAAGCCCTGCTGAAGGCACTGGAGCACCTCAACACCACCATGCAGAACCCTGTGGACACATACATTGGTGGGATACCAGGTTGGTTAGAGAACAACTTTTATTCCAGCTAAAGACCAGACCTGAATCTAAAGAGACTCTGGAATACTCTCAATAGCGGATCTGTTAAAGTTTACATACGTCAACCTCAGGATGGGGCTATAGCACTGTCAGTAGGAGGCAGTGTCTTTTAGCATTGGCAATATAAAATAATTTTGCAACACTTTAAGCAATGCAATCAGTTTTTAAAGCTTTTTCCACAAGTGCATTATTTTCACTAACAAATGTTCATATAAAGTAACAACATGGAATTTCCATAACAGGATTTCACTCTATTCTGCACTTATTTAAAATGAAACGAGGAAAAACCACCAAAAAATCTGCTCTCTGTGCATTTAGGTCACATTACAAGAGCTTATTAAGCTAATTAGGTTACGTGTCAATTTATGCAGTCTATGTGTCCTTCTGGGCTGATACCTAAAGACGCTTTGAATGATGTCACAAGAAAAGTCGAACAGCTTAATATCTTCCATAATATTTTTTTAACTTTTTCTATTTTTCTTATTTTTAAAACTTGACCTCTGTTTGTTTCAGATGACATCCCGTTGCCTGTCACGCCTGTATCAGCCTTTTACCACGGCTGCATGGACATCTCCATAAACGGCAGGCAGGTGGACTTTGACGAAGCTCTAAGTAAACACAATAGCATAAAGTCTCATTCTTGTCCTCCAGTGAGTAACCAAGGGCACCCCTGATCTACCACAGCCAGAATAGGAAGTCACTTTAATTAGAAAACCACTAAAAATAGGCCTCTTATGGAGCATCTCTAGGGATGTACATTTAGTCTCTTATCCATGCTGTTTAAATTTGTCCATCATTTTTATTCTCAGTTTTTCATTTATCAGTTAATTTCAACAGAAGCTGGACATTGTAGTTGTATAACTTTGTTGCAATGTATGTCAAATTTTAAAAGATATTTCCACAGAAAGGGTTCAGCTCTGCTGCACCAGTGTGTATTATGCATCACATGGTTGGCTTTGTGTAGATGAATAAACAAATGGTCACCGCTGGCCAGGCTCTGATGGTCCCTGCGTCCCTCTCCTTGCTGTTGTTACATTCCTTTCTGTATCTTGTTGCACATGTTTGTCTGAATCAATACTACGGATCTGAATCACACACATTAAATTTGAACTTTAAGTCTCTACCTTGTTCTGAAATCAATGTGTATATAAAGACAGGCCGTGTAGTTATTTCCAATGTGGGTTTTTTTTATGTTTGTTTTAATAAAACTGGATTAAAGCAGTGTTTCTTATGTTTTGTTAATTCAGCCCTAATGTTTTAGAAAAATAAAATAAAAATAAAGCTAAACAGGAAGACATTCATAGACGTCACTAAAAACTAAAACTTTTCCACGAAGCACTATCTCCCTTTAACCGTACGATTGCATTCGATTATATGTACCCAGGATTGCACCAGCAACCACAGCAAATTATCTCTTTAAACTGTCCAAGCTTGACATTTTGCTGCCGTGTTTAGCACACTTTGTAGTTCACTGAAAAGCCAACAAAGGAATAGATTTGTTTTTCTCACTTAATTCTCACCTAATTATTCTGGCAATATTGGTTATTGTATATCTGGAGCGTGTAACAAAAGTAATTTCCCTCTGGGATTATTAAAGTATTTCTGATTCTGAGTCCTTAGTTGCAACAATATGTGCCTCAGTATTGATGAAGTATGAATACATTAGATTGTTTATAGAAAATTCTTAAATCTTTTAAACTTGTGAATTTAATAGTGAGCACTGGTTTTGTCAACATCTATAAAGTTTTTAATATATCCTGTGTGACATATTGAACATTTTTCGGAGGCACCTGCTAATTTAGGAGCCTTTAACTATAGGTTAGTTTGCTAATATTCAAGGCGGGCTCTATACCTACATTAGAAAGACTTACTTCCCATGCTTTGGGTCAAAATAGTACTTTCAGCTGTGTTATCATTTTAGAATATAGAAAATACCTATATATGCAGAGTGAATAAAGCCCTTCATAGATTCCAATTAACTTTCTCTAGTTATCTTAAAGGTGAAAGTTAGCAAAATGGTTGAAAAACAGTTTTAAGATCTGCTAAGTTTTATTCCTCTTCAGAAACACAATCGTACCACTATACCTTGAAAGCTCAAACTGTTAGAATTAGAATTACTGTTATTCAGTCTGAAGTTACTCCTAATCTTCACCAATCTATGTGCTTTTATTGTCTTTTCATGTTTTTTGTCTACTGTCATATTGATAAATTAACCTTTTAACCTCATGATTCTTTTTCTTTTTTCTCCTGAACTTTTATCTTGAAAAATATTTTCACAATCGTATAGATATTAAATCCAGTTCAATTAAAAAATACTTTGATAATCCCAAAGGGAAACAGTAAGTTACTGCAGGTGTTAAACTAGCTAAGTTAGCTGTAGGCAGGAAGGATATTCTGTATCCGTCCGCCTCACTGAAGGTGAGAGGACTTGGAAGACAGAGGTCTTCAGAGTAAAAAGAAGTGGTGAGAAAACTGTTCCCTGTGGTGCTCCTGTGCAGCTGACTGATGTTATTATCATTAACTACAACTAACAAATTTACAAAAACTAGGAATACAAAAACCTTTCTGTTAAATGAAATAAAAATAAAAGCTGGAACTTGCAGAAAGATAACATAAAACTATAATATGAGTTTACAAAACAAATTAAAACTAACAGAATTTTCAGATAGACTGTGCTTTGTTTTCATTTGTGGGTTTATCACAGCGCACTATATGAGATCTAGTTTCTGGTTACTGTGTTAGCTTTTTGTCTCTGTACGGCATTAAGCCAGCAGATGATGGGTTCAGAGTCAAAGCTCTATCAATATGTTCTTTTCTTAGTCTCACCTCTTTTATGTAAGTCTCATTACATAGGAGAATAAGACTATCACTGAAATTAATAAAAACTAAACTGAAACTAGTTCACAAATACCAAAACCAAACTAAATCTAAAATAAAATTGAAATTCAGAAGTCAAAACAAAATAAAAATAAAATCTAATAAAAATATCCAAACTATTTAAACCTTTGCTGCGGACCATCTGATTATAGTTGATCCTTCAGTTTTAAACTGTGATCTGTTGGTTAAGTAGTCTGATCCAGGCAATTTTCAAGGCCTCCTGACTTTTTAAAACAGTTATGTCATAATGTGACATAACTGCATGAAACCTTTAACTATAGGTTTTTGAGGACTAATCTTTCTTTGTGTATCAAGCTCAAAAATACACAAATCCGGCACAGACATCAGCAATGGGAGGTAAATATCAAGTACAATGCAGAAATGTCAAAATGAAACCGGTTTTATATAATTCAGTGTAAATGACACAAACTGTAAGAGTTGTGCAATATTGTTTCCAATGAATCAACAGAGCAGAAATGGAAGCATCTAAATGAAAGTAAAAGAAAAATTAACCCCCATTGGGAAACATTTCAGTTGAACAGGACATTTCTAAACATGTCTGTTCATGCTTAATGTAAAAAAAAAAAAGAAGTGATTTTTGGTTTACAACACAGTTGAGCGTAATTTTATTCCTACGCCTGAAAGAGTTACGTATGTACATATATTTTGCAACTAAAAATGTATTTCTTCTTGAAATGTACTTTTCTCTCAAGAGATAATAAAGCATGTAAAAGGAGTCTGAACTGGAAGAAATAAACTTCATCATTATCCATCCATTGCACCAATTGTCCTTGCATCTTCATGTCTATCGGGCGACATGCAGGTTTGCCTGGTCAATGAGTTTTTCAGTAATCAATTTAAATTTATTTATTAGCGTTACAGAAATTCCTTAAATGAGCTGCCTTACGATAAAATAGATGATTAACAAACTTTACCTCTTACTCTTTCAAATACATTCCAGTCATATTTTTTATATGACCTTTTTAGAATTCTTTACATTATTTAACTACACCAAAACCCCTGATATGTCATTATTTAAGCTGGTACAAAATAAAAGTAAAAGTATGGAACAGAAATACATCAGAAAAATAGTAAAGTTACCCTATTTAAAAAGCATGATGTAATACTCCTTTAGTTCTAATGGGAAACTAGTCTGGAAGAAAATCCCAGAAAGCTGATAAAGTGCTGGAACCCTAAGCTGCTTTAAATTAATGTTAAAAAGCTGTTCATTTAGAGCTGCCTTTTATTATATTAGTATTTTAAGTTTGTAGGTTAATTTTCTTTACCTGCATGATCATTTTTATTATTTTATCTTGGACTGAAACAATTAATTGGAATAATCATAACTAATCGATTATTGAGATAATCATCAAGACTCTAAAACATGCCTTTAGGTAACAGAGCTACCCACTTAGTGTAGTAATTATAACTAAATAATAAAAAATATATACAATTTGCATTTAAGATAAAAAAAAAAAGTTTTTATCCATCAATATGCTCTATCCAGAACTCCTCAAGTGGAGTTTATATGCATTTAGCAGGCACCTTTATCAAAAGCAACTTGCTATCCGACTATTAATCGATTAATTTGAATAAAGGCGCTATATAAGTACATGCCATTTACCATTTACCAATTTAAGAACATAATCAACAGATTAATCTATTAGCAAAATGATTGTTAGTTATAGCCCTAATTACTTTTACTTCCCTTAATCTCAGTTTTACTGTTGCTACTGCAGTGTATGTTTCTCATTGTGTTTTCCTGTGATGTTTTCTTCATGCAGCAGTTTGAAATTTCTTGTTAAATGTTCTATACGGATAAACCTGTCTTGCTTTAAGAAAAAACACAGGCAACCTCATCAAATAAGAATTATTCTTAATACGTAGCATGAACTTATAGATGTCATTTTATAATTAGGAAAAATTGTAATCTAAAGTATTCCATGGGTGTAGTTATTTAACCTGACAACAGCCAGATGCATGTCTCTCTCCGCCTAGCTCCGCTCACATACGTGAGTGGAGCTGGGCGGAGCGAGACATGCATCTGGCTGTTGTCAGGTTAGTAGTTATTGTCATCATGACATGTATTTGACTCATGTATTTTTTATGACAACTATTGCACAAAAGTTAGCTTTTGTCTGTTGAACAATTAATTTAAAAGCAAACATATGGTCAAATTATTACAATTTTTAAAAAGAAATTTAAGATTGTTCTATTCAGTTTAAGTGGGGCTGTTAGATGAATTTGCATTTTAAAATTTCTGTGTTTATTGACAGATATCTTGGTCTGCAAAAAAATGACCTCAAAATATGTAACATTTTCTGAAAATAACTGTATTTGCTTCTAATCTGAAAAGGGGAAATAAGTTTTCGGGGTTTTCTATATTTTAAATGTAAATCTTAGTTTATCTGCAAATCTTCATATATACCCACGCCAATCAAGAGAAAATAAACATATCGTGGAGTCCTGGGCTTTGCCTTAGACTTCTCTATTCTATGTACAGTACCTTGGAAAACTCCCTGACAAACTTTGAGCAAGTGACACATATTTGTGGAAGATATTTATGACTACAAGCAATAAGGCAAATACCACCACGGCCCCCCACCCTGAGGCTCTTAGATAAACAAATAAACTCAAACAAGGGGATGGAGACATTAAAAACTGATAGGAGATGGAATTATCACACATTTAAACTAGAAGCAACTCATAATTTGTTCCCTGCATCTATCTCAAAGCAGTAAGTTCATGTCAATCGTGTTATCTATCTTTTTATCAATTGTGCTCTTTTTTTTTTTAAATAAATGAAAGTAAAAAAATAAAATAAAAAAAAACTTGCTCTAGTCTTTTGTTTTTCAAGTTTGTTTATATATCAGTGGATTCGAAATTGATTTGATTGACACCAATGTGGCATTTCTACCTATGGACTGCAAAAGATCGTCAAACGTCAGCATCAGATGGTGTTTGGCTGTTGGCAGATCCATGTATAAGGTGCCCTGTTTCCAGAGATGGGAAATGTGGAGTCAACAAGTCATCTCCATGTCATGTATTTGATCTACCCACCCACTGAAGCAGGTGAGTCCAATCTTCACCATGAATCAACCTGTGCAGATTGGACTCACCTGGTTAATTGGCTGGGTAGATTAAATACATGACATGGAGATGACTTGTTGACTCCACATTGCCCATCTCTGCCTGTTTCCAACCTGAGCACCTACCCCAAAAAATGTCTGCACGCCACTGCTATCCTTCAACCTTTGACATAGGAGCTGGCTCAGAGCTCGTCTGCCTGGCTGTGTGTTTCCTAGATGGGGCCACCTGTGGAGCTGGTTTACTGTTTTTTTTGTTTTGTTTTTTATCTCTTCTTCTTCTTCTATGGGCTGCTTCTGTTTCCTCGAACCACAGTCGGCCTCGGCAGATGGCCTGATTCTGCTGGACGTTTCTTCCGGTTAAAAAAGAGTTTTCCTCTCCACTGTCGCTACATGCATGCTTGGTGTGAGGGATTGCCTTTTAGTCAATGAGTCCATGCAATCAGCTGGTAGAAAACCTTTGAACAAATCTGACTGTATGATCTGGTTAAATAGTTTCTTTAAAGTACCTTCAGATGACATGTGTTGTTATTCTGTGCTATTTAAATAAATAAAAAAAACTGAAACTGTTCATCTGTTATTAAATACTGCAATTTTAAAATCTTTTGTTAAATTTTATTTGGAAAAGCATATTTAAAAATATATCTTTTCTTTAATCACATATAAAAAGGTAATTTCTTATTACTTTATCTCTCTCAATTTACCTTTTCTGTGACCGTTCTGAGACCTGTACCATGAAGCAGGTTTACCGGATTAGTGAGACAACTTCAGGTTTAACACTGACTTTCTGGTACCATGAAGCTGGACTCAGTTTTAATGAGGCTAGTTACCGTGGTAACACACTCCAGGGCAGGCTAGCTTTCAGGATTGATCTGAATCCTTGAAAACACTCCACCCAGCAGCCAATCAGCTGTTCAGAAAGCAATGATGCACCCTTATAATGAAAACCCAATTTAATTTAGAGGCTACAAAAACTTAAACAAAACAACATCACAAATCAAAAAGCAGTTAAAAAAAATTATATTTAAAAATTGAAGTTTTCAATTAATTTATTTTTATTTTCTCTTTTTTGACATACCAAAGTTTTAGAATTCAGTTTTCTCCTGTATAATATCCTAGTACACTGGTCGTATTGTTGTTATATGAAGCTAAATAAAAATAGCTTATAAGAAAATTAAAATCAAAGTGCACTTTTTTTTTTGTAACCTTTATTTTACCAGGAAGTGCCTTGAGATAAAATCATTTTTTCGAGGGAGACCTGGCCAAGAGGCAGCAGTACCAAGATTGTGAGAAGATCCTTTGGATAATTATGACATTATGAGCAATACCAGTTTTCATGGGCTGGACTGGTAAATATATATATGCCAGATCCTCATTTGAGGAATTTCACCATTTTAAAAGCAGAGCAGATTTTTACCATTTGTCTCCTCTGAGTTCTGACACAAAATCAGGATGATTTCACTCAGACTGATCACTTCCTGTATTAATGTGATTTAATTTTGGCATCAGCTTCCAGCTTTATTGTAGCTAAAACATTATTGAAGTAAAAATTCCAACCAACCAGATAAAACAATGTTTTAGTCTTTTGTTTTTATCTGCGCCCAAGTCATCTTCACTTCCGAGGGGCAACGATTAATATGCAGTATTTTGGGGTGCAGTCTGTGTTAAAAATTCCCTGATGTGTAACTTGCTCATTCACGCAGTCAGCAATCTTTTGCCACGTTATTTGATGTCTCTTTAATGCCGCCACTGTGTTTGACTTTTTTATTGAGACTTGCTTTTTTTCCTTTTCATTTAAGTACGATGAGTTTTTGTTCCTCAGGAGAAAAACCGCACTCTACCTTCTGCGCTTATTATTTTGATTGCTCTGCTATCCTGAACCTGCCCCTATATACATGCATGTTTTAAAAAATTCATGATCAGTCTTAACTGGATTAAATTAGCATGTGTTAAACAGGCTTCATGGTACTCCTTGATCCTGATCACCATCTTTGTAGACTGATTAAATTGGATCGACTGGAAGTAGTCCCAGTATGTTGAGCTTTCTTCATGGTACGGGCCCCCAAATGTGCCCCATACATACACAGTTCATTTCATTATTCTTCACCTTCGCTAGACATGAATATACTTTAGTATATTCTGCTGTAAAATGAGTCTTATTGGGCTACCTTTAGCTTCACAGCCCCCCTCCTCACCCACGCTCTCTCCATTCATCTCCTGGTCGCAATCTTCACTCACTGCTGCAGCAACGTCCACCTCTCCCTCTTTTGTTCTTTGAAAGAACGTGTTTATTTTGGGAAGTTTTTTACCTTCTTCCAGCAGCTCTTCTTTCCTTTTGCTTTTTGTCGAATCCGCCTAAGTACCTCTTTTTGGTATCCATCGTCGCTAGCACATTGTGTCCTACTTAATGGTTGTGGTTTTAATCTGCACTCTGGATTACCCATAATTCCAGGTTGTAGTGTAAAAAATAAAATACTCAAATACATTGTTCTTTTAAGATCTTTATTGCGGTTTGAAACATATGAGCATATTTTTACCAACCGTCTAATGAACTATAAACAGTTATTAACATAGTATTTAAAAGTGCTACCGTCTGCTTTGCTATTGTCATGTTTAAACAATGTTGTGTTCAAACGGCTCACCATCATGTTGAAATCTGGCATGTGTTGGGCTATAAATAAGGTCGGGTCAGTGAAAATAGTAACAGGTGGGTTTAAGAGGAATTTTTCGTTCAGTTAAATCTGCAAAGAGACGGGGCCCCTAAGCAACTGGTTTATTAATGGTTTAACCATTGGTTGTGCTCATTAATTTCCTGTTGTAAAGGTGTAGATTGACCCTAAGGTTATGGCACCAATCCACTTTCGGCCACCCCTCGGTTTACATTGGTTATTCATGGAAGCCCATTTCCGCCACTCTGTAAAAAAAACAAAAAATAACTAAAATTATTTCATTATAATGAGATAGTAAATTAAAATAATGAGATGCTATCTCACTATATTGAGATAGTGACTTAATATAATGAGATAGTATCTCATTATCACCATCTTTGTAGACTGATTAAATTGGATCGACTGGAAGTAGTCCCAGTATGTTGAGCTTTCTTCATGGTACGGGCCCCCAAATGTGGCCCATACATACACAGTTCATTTCATTATTCTTCACCTTCTATAATGAGTTACTATCTCATTATATTGAGTTACTATCTCATTTTAATGAGTATAGTCAGATAGTATCTCATTATATTGAGTTAGCATCTCATTATAATGAGATACTATCTTACTATATTGAGTTACTATCTCAATATAGTGAGATAGTATCTCATTATATTGAGTTACTATCTCATTTTATTGAGTATAGTGAGATAGTATCTAATTATATTGAGTTACTATCTCAATATATTATTATTATTATTATTTTTTTTTTAAAGAGTGGCGGAAACGGGCTTCCAAAGTTATTACCTGGCCACCCTAGTAAAAATGTTCTGGCTACGCCCCTGCCATAGAATCGCACCCTCGCTGGGAATGAGAGGGAGGGATGGAGTTGCGTAGAGAGCTGCATCATTACAAACTACTCAGTGTTGATCAACTCCCCCTTCAGCCTAATGGAGAACAAAAAGATCAGCAGGGGAGTCATTGGAGGAGTTCCTCTAAAAATTTCTGAAAAAGAGATTCTGGAAAACATAAGCGGTGCAAAAGTAAAAGAAGTAAAACGGTTAAAAACAACAAGAAACGGAGAAAGATCTGACAGTTTATCTGTGCTAATTAAATTCGAAGAAGAGCAATTACCAAGCAAAGTATTCATCGGTTACATAAGCTATAATGTCAAAATCTACAATCCTCCACCATTGAGATGTTTCAAATGCCAAAAATTCGGTCACGTTGCAGCAGTTTGTAAAGGGAAACAGAGGTGTGGAAGGTGTGCAGGAGAACATGAGTACGGAAAATGTGGAAAAGAAGCTAAAATAAAATGCTGTAATTGTGGTGGAGAACATACTGCTGCCTATCGCGGCTGTGAAGCAAGCAAAAGGTCTGAGGAAATTAAAAAAATGAAATTTGAGCTCGGAATAACCTACGCTGAAGCTGCAAAAAGGATCCCATCTCAGTCAGAAAAACCCAAACCTACAGTTCAACACACAGCAAATTCCAAACCTCTAGAGAAATCTCCAAAAATTAATGAAGACTCACTTATTGTTAAAAAGACAAATTTTGTTCTTTTCATGGTAGAAGTAATTAATTGTACTGCACAGACAACAAAAAAAACGGAAAAAATCAAAATAATAGTGAAGGCTGCAGAAAAATATCTGGACATTAAAGATTTGAACTGGGAGATGGTTGGAAGTATGATGGGAGGACCGATGGGACCATCAGAAACTGGCAGAGTTAAGATGACCTAGAGTAAATTAAAATTATATGGGCAAATGTGATTTAGTATTATGTTGGTTTAAGTTACACAGGTTTTTTTTTTTTTTTTTTTTTTTTTTTTTTTTTTTTTTTTTTTTTTTTTTTTGGGGGGGGGGTGAATCGTTTCCTGTTATCTTGCTTTACTCCATATCAGTTGGTGGCGGTAATGCACAATTCACAAGTCTGCCAACCGCCATAAAATCCCATAAGAAGAAGAAGAAGAAGAACTCCCCCTTCAGAAGCACGACAGTAACCTGCAACAAGCGCCACACTGATCCAGAGGTAGAAACAGGGAGAGGAAAGTAGACCTGGACCGCAATGGGGACTAACTGAACCGCAGGCGCTGCTAGAAAGACTCAGTTTATTGTGCGCGCGTGCTGCTGGCTTTAGCCCCGTTTGAAGCTGCTAACCGACGGAGACGGTGGAGGTTACCCCACCTGAATACCTGCAGGGTTTCACTCCTACATTAGAGGGAGGGGAAACGGAGACCTCCACACGGGACAGGAGAAAGTTTCTGAAAAGCTTAGCGCCACCTTAGCGGCTCAACAATGTGGCTGACCCCGGCTACGTCCGTCTCTTCGTCGGTTGCCCTGCTAATCCTGCTGGCGGTCCGCTGGTCCCACAGCGGTAGGTAAACACTAACATGCTATGTGTAGCTAGCTAGCTCGCTCTTTTAAAAACATATAAAATATCGCTTTTAAATATGTCTGCCCCAGTCCTCATTAGTGGCTTTGACGGTTAACCTTGGGATATTTCGCAACGTTTCTGCCAGAAACAGGATGGTTTGACGCCCCCCCCTAGTTAAAGAATGCATTTTGTTTTCCTTTCTTTTAGTTTTAATCTCTCCTAATGAGGCGAACCAGTTTTTGAGAAGACACAAGCGAGCAAATCAAGTTTTTGAGGAGACGAAACAAGGACACTTGGAGAGGGAGTGTGTGGAAGAAATGTGCAGCAAGGAGGAGGCTAGAGAAGTGTTTGAAAACGACCCAGAGACGGTGAGAAATCATGTTAAAGGTGGTTCAAAATGAATCTACTGCAAACTGATGAGTGAGAGAGACACCAGACTGATTCATTGTCTGGACCTTTGTTGTCTTTATGTCTAATAAGCTGCTAGCTGTCACCTCTGTCATGTTTTCTGTGTCCAGTTGTCTCTGATCTACTTTGAGTCAGCTTTGCTAAGCAGCATTTTATCATTTCTTTTGGATGATGACTCTTCCCACACATTCATCCCTCATTCTTTTGTGTGCAGGGATACAACCCTTTGGTTGTGAGATTGCATTAGCATCTGCTTGATTTGCATTACAACACACCTGGATTTTCTCAGTATGTTTCTATTTTAAACCCTTTCACTCAAATGCAAGTCAAAATGGCAAACAAACCTTCATTAAAGTGAGTGTTAACACTTTCAACTGCATTTTTTGTTTTGTTTTGCACAGGCACACCTTTTTGTTTGACATTTCGCCACCAAATAAAACCTAGTAGGGTGTGCTGACGGATTAGGTTCCTTAAACCTCTTATGTTCTACTTGTAATAAATATGCAGACATGCACCAGAGACATACTATTTCTATCAGGAACAAAGTTGTATTTAAAGTTTTTAAACATATATCTTTGCCCTGATTCCTTTAAGTCTCGTTATTTAAAAAGTGCTCTATTTTCTTTTTCTTGTGTTGATTTATAATTTTGTGATTGATAATAAACAATGGTTGTTATTTTGCAGCATTAAGATACTAATCCTTTGGCCTTTAACTAACACTCTGTAGGATTTGACGTAGAGAGAACCTAAATGTGGTAATCTATGACTCATACATTATTTAGCAGATTAGGCAATCAGATAGAAATAAAGACCAAAACAAGTGAAAATGACTAAACACTAAATTTGAGCCATCAGTGGAAATTTATACCACCATATTGAATACTCACTGGTTAAAGAATAGTTGTTTGCACTTTTGGTGATAAAAAGCTGCAGCCTCATTCAAAGCTACATTATTCATCCAGAGACTTCCCATTTCTGACTCTGCATTTCTTTTTGCTGCAGCTGTTTCACTCTGCAGAGAAACAGAGTGAACAGAGCCTTCCCTGATGTTAAACACACCCAGCTCCTGATGCCACTTCTGACTGCTTAGAGTTTAGACACATCCTTGAATTTGGCATATCACTGTTTGCATGAATCTGTTGTAAATTGTCTCTAGTTGGTGGTTTCTTCTGAAAAGCTAGCCTTGCTCTTTAGTTTGGTGCACTGACTTTCTCTGCAGCAAGTCTCTGTGCCTTTAGGGCTAGCCCTTTTGCTAGCTTTCTGAAGATTTTGACCTACTTGTGGCAGAGTGCTGCCATGGGGGAAGCTTTAGCTATTAGGAATGCAGAACATTTTCGGGAAGCCCCCCTGTGGATGGGCTGTGTAGATCAGTGATTTTAGTTTTTGTATAGATATAACAGGTGTGAATTATATTGCCTTTTCAATGTTAGCAGTAGAGACATAAATCCGTATCCTGCAAAATATGATGCAAAGGTTCCCCAATAAGAGTGAATTTATATCCAGATGTTATGTGTTTTTGGGATTTAAATGGATTTTCTGTCTGTGAAGGCCAGTAAATAATCCTTTATTTTCTCTGATTCAGGACTACTTCTATCCCAAGTATATTGGTAAGTCCCGTGCCGCCTTAGGAGTTGTCACCTCATCCTCTGCTCCTGTTAAACTATAAATGTATGTCACCTATTTATTGTGGTGTCTGATTTTTTTTCTCTCTATTCAGCCTGCGTGGAGAAATTTGGGAATTCTGAAAAGAAAAAGCAGGATCTGGTCACATGTGTGCATAGTAAGTTTTTCTTATTTTTAATGTATTGATATGTGACTGATTAGTTTTTTCTTCCCTATAGCTGTTTACTTTTTTTTTTGCATTCTTTTAATGTAACTTTCCCCATCACATACATCACTACATGTAGAAGAAGGCCTCTGGGGTCGTGCTGCAGTGCAGTAACATTTCTATGCACCACTCTCATGAGCTGGATTTCATTGTCAAATCCAGGCTCCTCTTTTCTGAGATTCTCTCTGTGCAAGCCCAGGTATTCGTGAGTAACATTGCAGCACTTTGCCTCAGTGATGCTGCACATTGGTTGGTGGAGGACACACCCCCTTCATTCACCACATACTCACTGCAGATGCTTCTTCCTGAGCCGAATCAGTGAAGGAGTGACGTGATATGAAAAAAAAAAGAGTCTGACGTAAAATGAGGACAGGATTTTTTTTTTCTTTTTTTTTTTTCTTTTTGCTGCATCAGGAAAGAGGAGACGTAGAGCAACCTGGCTTTTATGCTATTGGCTGTGGAGTCTCCAGGCTGGGTTCCATGAGTCAGCTCCATCACTTAAAGAAACGGCAGGGCTCATGACAGGGACTGTCGGCACGCAATGTCTTCTGCATCACAGTCATTTTTATTTTTTTTTTACTGTCATGCTCATCCTAACTCCTCCCTGCACTGCAGAAAAAAAAACTCTTAGTGGAGAGTCTTGATTAGTCTAGGCTTCACTTTAAGTCAGAACTGCATTTTTCACAGCTCCTAATAATGGTTCATTCAATTTCAATTCAATTCAGTTTATTTATATAGCGCCAATTCACAACACATGTCATCTCAAGGCACTTTACAGTTCACCAGATCATACAATGAAATTGATTCAAAGTTTTCTATCTAAGGAAAACCAGTCGATTGCATTGACTCATTGGCTTAAAGGCAATTCCTCACACTAAGCATGCTTGTAGCGACAGTGGAGAGGAAAAACTCCCTTTTAACAGGAAGAAACCGCCAGCAGAACCAGGCTCAGTGTGAGCGGCCATCTGCTGAGGGCGACTGGGTTTCAAAGAGACGGAAGCAGAGATACAAAAAGCAGCTGTAAAAGGCGGCCCCGTCCAGGAAACACACAGCCATGTAGACGAGCAACGAGCAGACTCCCTTGTCAGAGGATGAAGAGAACACATCCAGTCAGTCACAGTCAGAGAAACAGGACTACACTGGAAAACAGGCCGATCTCCAACATCTATAAACAATGGTGTTGATGGCAGCAGCACAGCTGATATTTCTCTCCAGGATGGTGTCACAGCCAAACAGGAACAGACGAGGCCAAGCTGCTTTGAGAAAAAGCAGAGAGAGCATAACGTTAGAGATGAAACTAATAGAGTCTGCAGAGTGGGTGAATAGAGATAAAAAGAAGCAAAATTATGAAATTGGGGTCCCTATGTCCTCCAGAAGTCTAAGCCTATAGCAGCATAACTTTAGAGATAGCTCTGGATAACCTGAGCCCCTCTAACTATAAGCTTTATCAAAAAGGAAAGTTTTAAGCCTAGCCTTAAAAATAGGGTGTCTGCCTTACGGAATAAAACTGGTAGTTGGTTCCACAGGAGAGGAGCCTGATAACTAAAAGATATCATACACAAACATTCCCTCTAATTAGTTCTGTTTTCAGGCTGTTCCTGTAATACTAAGCTTCAAAAGTGTGAACTTGTGACAAACATTTCCCATCATGTTGCAATGCAAGTATTTTGCAGCTGAAAGCTAAAAAAAATGCTGACAGTAATCTTAGCAGTCTGACTTAGAAATCCACCTGCTTCAAATGTTTTAAAAGCACCCTTATCTCTTTATATGAAATTAGACTGTGTCTTGATTTTAGACAGTACTGATGGCAATAAACATTAGAAATCAGCTGCTTGTAATAACTGCAGAAGTTTTTAAACAGCTGAGTGTTTTGGTGAAGGGACAAGAAACAAAGCTGCATGTTTTCAGTATGAAACAGAAATGGAGGTGAAGTGGATTCTTTGTCTTCAAGCCAACTTGTTACCGTTTTCTTCTTTAGACTGTGACCTTTTCTGTCACTTACCGAACTTGAGCTGACATGCCCAGACTTGTCCCGCATTCAGATTCCACTGCTTTGGTATCCGTTGCAGAAGAAACATTTGGCTTCTTGCGCAAGCCTGAGATGACATGGACAGTTTAAAGAAATATCATTGGAAAAGAGAAAGCAACACATTAAAAAGCAGTTGGGTATTAATCTTTTCAGAGCTACAGCTGTCCTACTGTGGGGAAAAAACCTAAATTGGGTTTATCCGGGAGGATAGCTTACCCTGCTTGTGTTATGCTATTTATACTCAACTCCTGATTTGCAGAATATGAGAGTTGCCCTTCCTCTAATCTTTGCTTTGCAGCTGCATGCAGTGTGTGAATCTCCCCACCTCTCTTTATAGAAGTAACTAATAACACTTATCCCCCCATGCATGTCTGTTTTTTTCCAATATCTAAGTGATTCCAGACCAGTGTTCTCCTTCTCCTTGTGATGCCAGAGGTACGGTGCGCTGCGAGGACAAAAAAGGCGACTTCCATTGTCACTGCTTTACAGGCTGGACAGGAGCCAGTTGTGATAAAGGTACGGTCATCAACTAATGGCCTAGACATTGTGAACTGGATCTCTGCAGAGGTTGAATTTTTGCATCGTCACACAATCTGTCTGTTTAGAGATGTCAGCACTCTGACCTTGGTTCTGACACCTAATGCCTGTCCAACCCATGGATGGAAAGGTTGGACTCAGAAGGGGTTATGTTTCAATCAGGTTTTAAGTTTATCTTATCTATGTGAGAGTAATTTGCTGCTTTAAATGAATCTATGCTTTACGACGACCTGAATGCTGATGCAATTCTCAATCACATGGGTAGTTGGAGGAAAGTTCATTATTAAGGAGTTCACCATCATCTTGCCTAATATTACTGTACAAGCTGGAAGTGGAAAAAATACATGAGTCCAGATCAAATGGGAGGGAGAGAGAGGAACATTTCCACTGTGACTCATCCTTCCACCTTACTGTGAGGAAACTGGAACTTAACTTGGGCCGAACCTTTTCCAGAACATGACAGCATCTATCCTTTAACCTCTGCTCTGATTCTTAGCCACAGTGTTTTATTCATTGTAAGGAGTTTAAAAACGTACGAAGACACTTCAGTAGGAATATGACAAACTGCAAATTTCAAAGTTTTAGAATTACCTTTACAAATTATTCTAAAAGAAAAAAAAATCCTCCTTTGAAAAAAGAAAACGATTTTTTTATGTAGTTTTACTAATGTTTTATTGTTGAAAGTGATTCTTGATTTTTTTGTTTTTTTTCTGCAGATGTGGACGAGTGCACCAAAAACAATGGAGGTTGTGAGCATGTGTGTAACAACACGGTAGGGAGTTACCGCTGCTCGTGTCACGAGGGCTTCATGCTGGTGGGTCGCCACATGTGTAACGGTGAGCCAAACAGTTGGGCTGTCATCAAGGCTAGAGTTAATCAAAGAAGCTGTTTGCTTTAAATCTGCTCTACTTCTAAAACATTTAAAACTGCAATATTTAATATAGGTTGTAATGATTGAACAGTCACTGAAATGTATTTCTTGCATCACTTACTTTCTAGAAGCTGGAAGTTTTTGTGTGGGGAACATTTGACAAGTTTAAAGTCTTTAACCCAACTAGTTATTGGCTCTCCATAATCAAATCAATCTGAGGACGCCTCAATAATCTGATGTAGGGCTGCAACTATAATTATTCTGCAAATCGATTAATTTGTTGATTTTTTTTTTTTTTTTTCAATTAATAATCAGATAGCCAAAGATTGCTTAAAGACATTTTTTACAAACTTAAAAAGAGATGAAACTCAAACTTGTTCTGGATGGAGTATATTGACTGATCTATTTTTTACAATTTTGGTAGAACTGGGTTGCTTTGTCAGCTAAAAGCATACTTTACAGGCTCTAGAATCCTGTTGATGAATCGATTACTAAACTAGTTCAGGATTATTTCAATAATCGATTCGTCTGGTTAGTTGTTTCGGCCCTAATCTGATGCGTCATCAACATCACTTTCATTCAAGTTTTAAACAGCTGCACTCATAAATTCCTTTTATGGTTACTAATAATTGAAAGAACCAACATGAAAAATCTAAGAGATTAATAAGGATAGTATAGAAACTACAGCTGTTATTATTATAAAGCGACACATTTTGTTTAGAACATATCGTTTCCATTTTGGGATTAAAAGCTCCCGTTCCTATACTAAAGAAAGTACCCCAATTATATGAAGCTTTAAATTTGATTTTTAAGATTAAATATATAATTTTATACAATCTAGTTGTAACATGGACTTGACCGAGCCTTACACATATCTTTTTCTTTAAGATATCAATGAGTGTGAGGATTCAAGCGTGTGTGGGACAGCTCTGTGCCAGAATAACGAGGGCGGCTATGATTGCTTGTGCGAGGAAGGCTACGTCTACGACAACCAAAGCAAAAGCTGTGTTGGTGAGTCCGTGTGGCCGTTTGCTATTATTTGATCTGGCTCAGCAACATCGTTGTCCTCAGCAGAGGGCCTGATGTAACTTCTAGGTCATGAAAAGAAAGCAAAAATATTTTGGAGAAATTCTGCACAAACTAGGTAAGGGTTCACATTCATCCAGGCTGAAAGCAGATATATTTTGGTTTCAATAGTCTAGATTTTCAAAAACAACTAAAAACTGTTTATCTTAACAAGATCAACAGTGTTTCTGTTCCCTTAAGCATCCTAAATATAGATCAATCATTAAGGACTGTAAAACCATTTGTGTTTTCTACCTTCTTGTATTGTTAGAGCTCAGTGTGTCTGATCTGCTGTATGCTCTATGAAAAAGACATTATGTCTCAAATGTTTACGTTTTACAACATAAACTATAAAATACTATAAAAAGTGACATTTTATCTTGACAGATAAAAAAAACATTTTCAGATGATGGAAATCTAAAATGGTGGGAACCAGACTTTTTATAACCTTAGTCTCCCTCCTCAGAGGATTGGAGTTTATTTAAGCAGATCTTTTCATGGCCATGTAAGGTTGTATGTGAAGCAGAAAACTACAACCCGGCCAACGTCAATGGCCACTTCACTCAAGTGTTCCTGTGGATTCCTTCTCGTGTAAAAATGAAGGAAACCATCTGTCTTTCAGTCTTGAAGTGTTTTTCTTATTTTTATTTTTTTATTTGAGTTATGCTTTGCATGAAAGCTCTGCTGTTATTTTGATAAGATAGTGACCTGTTTGCTTCTCTGTAATTTTGGCACCACAAGCCACCTTCTCTTTAATCCAATCCAATCTCTGTTATCGCTTGCAGATGTGGACGAATGCCTTTCTGGCGTTTGTGAGGAGGAGTGTTTGAACATTCCCGGGAGTTTCCGCTGCTTCTGTGATGGTCGTCAGGGCAGGAAGCTGGGACAGGATCAGAGGAGCTGTAAGGTAGTTGTATCAGGTTCTACTCTTACTGTCAACTTGCAATTAATACCTTCAGACTTTATCTTTACATTAGGCTTAAATTGTTTATAGGAACATTTGAGAACCGATAAAACACTTGAAACCATTAAAACACCAACATTAAATACTGGTATTAAAAAGACATCTCTAAGTATCTCAGGCAGCCTTGTTGACAGAAGTTACAGCTTGTGTACGTTTCTCAGTGGTGGCTCATAATGTCATTGTTTTGCTTTGTTCTCCAGCCTCTAACAGCGTGTATGTCGCCCTCCATGAAGAGGAATCCTCGTTCTCTTTATTTGGGTCGCATGTTTAGCGCCGTGCCCGTTGTGAGACTGCGTTTCCGCCGTATGGTTCACACAGGGTAGGAAAAACACCGTTCTCATTTCATGTTCATCATTAGATGTTGATTCCTAGGTTTATACCTTACTTCCTGAGCTTTGAAGAAAACTGATTGTGTGTGTGTGTATATATATATATATATATATATATATATATATATATATATATATATATATATATATATATATATATATATATATATTAGGGGTGGAACGGTTCACAAAATCCACTGTTCAGTTCGATTCATGGTTTCGTGGTCACGGTTTTCGGTTCAGTTCGATTCGGTATATGTTGATTGTTACACCGAAATCCCATAAAAATTTATGAAATTAATGAAAAAATGTATGAGGGATTTCGGGGTTAGCATGACATGTTGGTCATGTTGCTGTTAGCATAAACAAAACGTGTTGCACAATGCTTGCACACTGTTGCACTTTTATCCACAACTTTCTTTCCGCTGTCATCGTAGGTCACTCTAAATGCAAAGCGCTCCCATACAGCAGACCTATAAAGTGCTGCTGGCGCGTCTTCCAACTCCTCTTCTTTCCCACTCGCCATACCCACACAATTCTCCACAACAACTGTTTTTTTTTCCCCTGCTACACCCGGCTAAGCTGCTTCGCTTATTCTTATTCTTGTTTACTACTGGTGGTTGGCTTTGGTCGCAATACCGCCACCTTCTGCTCTGGAGTGTACACGCTTCGCCTATGAGAAAAAGCATGAACCGAACGAAACACACGCGAACCGAACCGAGACAGTCGAACCGAATGGTTCGGACGGTTTTTATAAATTGTCCCATCCCTAATAAATATATATATATATATATATATATATATATATATATATATATATATATTATTTTTTTTTTTTTTTTTTTTTTTTTTTAGGGGTGGTACGGTTCACAAAATCCACTGTTCGGTTAATGGTTTTGTGGTCACGGTTTTCGGTTCGGTTCGGTATATGTTTATTGTTACACCGAAAAAAAAAAAATGTATTAAAAAGCATGCGCATGAACCGTACGAAACACACGTGAACCGAGACAGTCGAACCGAACGGTTCGGACGGTTTTCAAAATCCGTTCCATCCCTAAAAAATATATATATATATATATGCTTCAATATTAATATATATATGCTTCAATATTAAGGATTACACAGAGTAACAAGTTATGGGGAAAAGTGGCTCACAAGCTTCCTGCATGTTCCAATAGCCTTAAAGGTTCGATTAGCCTCAATTTATGTGAAAGAGAAGACTCAAAGTTACAACTGAACCTCTCCTTTCTCCTCGTGTGTGTGTGGGGAGGGGGGTAGATTAACTTAAACTAGTATGTTGTCATGTTTTTACGGTTCTGGTGGACAAATTGTTTCATGTTGTATTTAGTCCAATTTTTATATTTTCTATCTTATTACTGAATATCCAGCAAAAAAAGTTTACTTCCTTTTTCTCTTTGTACTAGTACGGTACTGAATGTTGGATAATATGGTTTAATGCCCCACTTTAATATTTTTATAAGTGAAATACTTTTATTTAAGAAGTGAACTGTTGTGACAATTCAAAAGCCCAAGCTTTATTTCTATTATCAATAATTTCAGAATTATTAGAAGTGTAAACTAAATGAATAACTGAATTAGTTAATTGAGTTGTGTGTGTGTGTGTTTGTGTGTGTGTGTGTATGCATGTATCTATGTATGTATGTGTGTATATATGTGTATATATATATATATGTATATATATATATATATATATATATATATATATATATATATATATATATATATATATATATATATATATATATATATACATAATCTTCAAATTAAGCCTCAAGGTTTTTTGCCTAAGGGACAATATAGAATGGATGATAGCCACCATTTTCTAAAAAAAGAAGAAAAAAGAGCAACAACAGCAGAAAAATAAAAAAAAATTGTGAGAAAATACCAAGAAGTTCATTAGGCCCTCACGCACAATTTCAACCTTGCGTGCACACCTCCTCTCGATCAGCCAAGTTGACTCTGGGCCGGTGTTGTGCACTCTCAGGCAGACTGGCTTGGTTTTCAAAAGCTGCGCAGGGCTTTTTTATATGGTCGGTTTTGCTTGTTTCCTCCAGCTTCTGTCCAATTTGGCACTTCGTAGAAAATCGCAAATCTCAGTCTTTTATGCGATTCCAAAATTGCACAGCATGACATTGCAATATAGATTAATCGTGCAGCTAATATATATATATATATATATATATATATATATATATATATATATATATATATATATAAACATTTTTTTTTTTCAGGCTTCTGCCATATTTTTTTTGGACCAACTGATCCTTTTCCCTCTATCCCTTTCTCCTTTCGTCATCAGTTTCTCTGCAGAGTTTGACTTCCGTACATATGACAGTGAGGGGGTGATCTTCTTCGCAGGAGGGCATCTCAATAGCTCCTGGATTGTGCTTGCAATGCATCAAGGGAAGCTGGAGCTGCAGCTCAAGTACGGTGCCGTCAGTAGAGTCACCAGCAGTGGGCCAATGGTCAATGACGGCCAGTGGAGAAAGGTTAGGAGTTTCTGTTCAGAGGCTTAAACAACACATACATGCTGTTTGATTTCGCTGGTTGCAGTCAGCTTGATGTCTTCTCCCAGATCTCAGTGGAGGAGCAGGGACGAAGCCTTGTGATAAAGATTGACAGGGAGGCTGTGATGAAGATCGCTGTAAACGGTGACCTGTTTACTCTGAAGAAAGGCATACATGAACTTAACCTCACTGTTGGAGGAGTTCCTTTCCGACAGGATGGCCTCGTCAATCAGGTGTTTCTTTTTATCTTCTTGACTTTTCTGGTTGTGCTCCAAAATAAGATCCTCCTCAGACATTTCTAAACCATCCCTGTTTTAATACGTAGATAAATCCCCGCCTGGACGGCTGTATGAAAGAGTGGCGCTGGCTGACGGGGGAAGACACCTCAATCCAAGAAACCATTCGATTTAATGACAACATGCAGTGTTTCAGCTCTGAGGTTCCTGGAGCGTACTACCCTGGAAGGGGCTTTGCTCTCTTCAACATCAGCTATGGTGAGCCCTCAACCAAACTACATACAGTTAGAGAAAAGTTCAATTTGCTTGGCAGGTTTTAGAGCTCTGATGGACTGATCTGAATTACGGAAAACAACAAATGTAGATGTTTTGGACTATAACTTTTTGAAATTGCAGTAGTCTTTAATAATGGATACCTCCTGGATGTAGGTGTATTAAAGCACTTAAGTTTAATTTGTAATTCCTGAACCATATTGTATTCCCACTGATGACTGTTAGTTGGCCTATATAGATTCTCTCATTGTATGCAAGTGTGTCATCAGCTGCCATTCTTTTGTTCTGTTAAGGTCCAGAAACAAAGAACCTGAGCATCCAGATGACGTTACGCCCACTTTCTGCTATCGGAGTGCTGTTTGCTCTGGTACACCAAGACCAAGTCCCTCTCTCCATCGCTCTGTCTGACTATAACCCCACCACAGAGGAGTGGAGAGATGTGAGTGAATCTTATCTTGCTTGCTGACAATTTCCAAATGTTTCTCAGTATGAAAAATACGCCTTTTGTTTGCTTCCAGTTCATCCTGGTTTCTGCAGGCACTGTTGTTATTGCCAGCTCTCCTGCACTGCTGTGTGACGGGGAGAGTCACAACATCCAGGTGACCATCTCTGGCAACCAGACTCTTCTTCTGGTTGACGGCAAGCCTGGACGAAGCGAGGAGGCAGATTTCACTACAGATGTCTTCTCACATTCAAGCACATTTATAGGAGGTCTCCCAGGTCAGGACTAATTCTAACCTTTTTATTATAGCCACTGAGAATTTTAACATCATAAAGCGTTGAGAAAGTTGGCTATCCACATTTACTAGTTGATCAAGTCCAATATTTTTTGGACTTTGGATTTTCTTATTGATTTTAGTGTTATTAAGCAATATTTTCTGTATTTTCTGCAGGAAGTGTTTATAGTTTTAGATTCTTACTCTTAGAAAACTAGCAATGCACCCATATGTGTATTGACCCGATATTTTATCAGCCAGAGTCATAAATACTTTAATCAAGGCTTGATTAGAACAGGTATGAGAACACCTGACCTGTGTGCAATTAACCAATTATATATTTATCTGAGAGGTTAGATGCAGGCCGATACCAATCAGATCCAGACATCCCTCGATGAAGCTATTATTTGTTCCTCAGAGTGGTAATAGGCACTGTTTTATCTTGCTAGGTTTGGGTTTTGTTTTCTAAGAGGCAGATGTAAAAAGATGTTTGTACCCCTGATCATTCTTTGTCTCACATGCAGTCATTTCTTCCCTCAGATGTTTCCTTGGTGTCCACGCTTGTGTCGGCTCCCTACAACGGCTGCATGGAAGTAGCTGTGAACGATCAACCTCTAGATCTGGACACGGCCATTCACAAACACAACGACATCCGTTCTCACTCCTGTCCCCTGCTGAACTCTCAGCTGTAACCAAAACCAGTCTACGAGCAGGTCTTTGACTTGATGGGGGAACATGTCCACTGAAAATCCTGTAACATTGGGTGATACGGTAGCTTCAATTGAAACTACTTTTTTTTCCCATAATTTGGCAAAAAGGCTTGATAGAGGCATCTGCTTAGGTTTCCACAAGTTTTACATTTCTGTGAGAGAAAAGCCAGATGGAAAATGAGCATCAGATCCCCTGTACCCAACAGGAATCAAGATATATTTTATATTTTATATCTGATGCTAATGTATTACAGGTTTGTAATGATTTTCAGAGTACTGTTAAATGGTTACTTTATCTGATCGCTAAAACATAGATTTCTCTTGAAGTCGAAGGCACTTCTAATGCTTGGATAAAATAAGTGTTAACAAATGCTTAACAAGATGGACCCAATTACACACTGCTCAGACAAACCCATCATCTGGTGCTTTAACAGCTCTGAGCATTCGGTGCATAAAAACACTCTGATTGTGAACCTAAAAAACATATTTGCCCTTAAAATGCTGAATCTCCTCTTGAGCCACAGCATCAAGACACAGCGTTGTGTTTTGTTGATGACCTTGCACATAGTTACAGGTAGAAATGGACTGCAGCATAACGTTGTTTTTTTTATTATTATTTACTCTCAATTAGAATAGCACTTCATGTCTGCCTGCAACCTTAAAAATCAACCATGTGCCTAGAAAATAACAGCCAACCCAAACCTGTCAACAGCTCCCCTCTGATCAGGTGAACCGTTTTGCAACCGTGCAGTACTGTAACCCCCTCCAGATGAAACCAATGTCCGCATTGTCCCGGTGGGTTCATTGTTGAACCTAAATCCCCGATTCCATCACAAATCCTCTTCTTTTCCCAGGAGTCACAGTTTAAAACCTGTCATATAGCAAACCGACATCCACAGATTTAGCCACTAGAAGCACACGGAGAGCGGAAGGGGCACCGAGCACTAGATCAACCCGACCACACAAGCTACTGAGAACAAGAAGAGCGGCTGTATTATACTGTGTGTAAATAATGTTACTGTAAAATGCTTTAGAAATGACAGAAATCTAACACTACCTTCTGCTGCAATATTTGATTGTTTCAACAAAAAATAAAACATTACAATAGGCCTTTGCAGCGCTTCGCTGCTCTGGTCTAATTAAAGCCTCTCGACCTCTGCATCTGAGAAAAGTTTTAGCAATAAGTTGGGCTGCTTGACACAGAAACTGAGAGGTGGGAAGAGCAATAGCCTGGAATCAAAGTAGCTTCAGTCTGTAGGAGCTGATTTTAATTTATCGGTGCTGAGCAAATCTAAACACTTCAAAACTGAGAATGTCTAAGGAGCATTTTTTGACTTGAAACGCCAAAAGGGCTCCAGTGTTCTTTTACATCCTCGTCATTTCAAAGTTTTATTATGAATGAATGCAGGAGTATTAAGTTCAACCTTTTATTGTATTATTTTTTTTTATCATGTGTTGTATCTTAAACTATTCCCTTATTTGTATTTTTCACCTTAAACTGCCAGTATGTGTACAATGCTGCAAGATGTCTGCCTTTTGAGTTTTAACTTCCCTTAAACCTATTTAAAAATAAAATCCACTGTATGAACATTATATTAAAGAGTAAAATTGTATTTTCAAAAAAACTAAATGCTTAGTGTGTGTTATTTAAGACTGGATCTGAAATAAATCTGCATGAGTGTGGAGTAGTTAGTTGGTGAGCAGAGACTGTCCCTGGTATAGAGAAAAAGTATTTAGTTCCCTGTTTGTTTTTGTGATGTTTTGCTTCCAGTAAACGCAATTTATGGGAGATCTTCAGAAACCCTGTAGATCAGCAGTTTTCTATTCTGTCCTTTTTTATGTGGAAACTGGCTGCTTATCTACTTTCAGGACTCCCAGTACGCTTCAGTTTCAATTCTTTGCCTCTTACACAAAAATAGTGACATTTTAAAAAAAAAAAGCTAAATTCTCACTTTTAAGTTTGTTTATATTCTGACAAACACCCAAGGTCATAAGATAAGATTATTTACTGCAAGAATGAGATGCCGTGAACAAACAGTTAAAATGAGCTTCTTACATAGAGTGAGTCACACATAGAGATAGAGATAGATTAGAAATCAACTGATACAGGGTTTTTTAACCCCCCACTGATCTTTTTAACAGTGAAAGATAAGTCAAGTGCAGTAAATTATGCATCTCAATATAATAATCTAAAACTACTTCTAACAAAGCCTGTACCTTTACAGAGTACTTCTTTAAACTGTTTTTTTTTTTTTACTGTGTAATACAATTCAGTTTTGCTTTTGCAGTGATTCCTGAAATCAATATTGGTTATTCTTCCTCCATTTACATAATAAAAAGGACAAAGATTCCTATTGGCTGTATAATCTTCTTTGTAGATACTATAATCCCCACCTAAAGGGTGAGATGCTTCCCCAATAATGCACCAGTGATCTGAAGGATCTGCTAAACAAGAAAAAAATTGCCTTAATGAAGAAAGAAAGGGAATTATTGAGGAGTATATAGAAGCAACTTAGGATCAAGATAAGAGAAAGCAAGGAGGCATATAGAAGGAAGCTGGAAAGCAAGCTCCTGGAGAACAACATCAGGTGTTTGTTCAGGGATGAAGGAAATCCAGACAGATGGAAGTATGGAAAGACCTAATGAACTGAACATGTTTAATAATTGCTTCAGGTACAAGCTCAGCATCGTTCTCTCCTACCCTTAGTCAAACAGACACCCTGCCTCCTTTGGCCCTAAGCCTCAGCTTCAGCAGCTCTGTAGGATTCTACAGCACCTCTTTACTCTTCAGGCTGACCCAGAAGATGATTACTAGGAAGTGGAAGAAGTCCCGCCCTGTTCCAGCTACAAAGAAAACTCAGCTAAATGTCCTCAGTGACTATAATCATGTTACCTTGGATCCCATGTCATGAAGGTTGTAGAGAGACTTCTGTTATTTCCCCTCAAACAAGCAGCTATCAGGACCCCCTGCAGTTTGCTTATTGCTGTGGAGCTGATGATGCCATCATACACCTGCTCCAACAAACCCACTGTCATTAAGAAGAGGCAGACATCACCGAGAGGATCACACTCTTAGATTACTGCAGATTGGTTGCTCTTTATATATATATAAATCTAAACCAGTTGGATCAAGATAATGAATTAAGTTATATTTTTCTTTAAGACAGGAAATTATGAGAACGAGTCAAGTTCTTATGGGTTAATTGGAAGTAAACATTAAACGTCAGAAACTTTTTTATTCAAAGTATGCTTACTGTTGTGGCCCTTAAAAAGCATTAATGAACAAGTAGCAGAACCACAGGAGTAAATATCTAAAGTCCTGTTTTCAGGATAAGAAAAGATTAAGTCAGCCTGGGGAAAAGAAACAACCTGTAACAGAATGAGTTGCAGAACCACATTTTATTTCTTTTTACTTAAATTCTCTTCCAAAACCAAAACAGAAACTTATACAGAAAAAAAAAAAACATTTCTGGGAAATCCACATATTTTAGCAAAGACAGTAAATGAGACTGATAATCCTAGTGCCCATTTCAGGGACATCCCCACATATTACACTATATTCACTGCCTCATACATAAACGTTGCATTATTCTCATCTGTCCCAGAAAACAATAAAATATGTTTATTTTCCAAAATTTAGAATCTGATATCTTTTTTAAAAGCCCTTACTGCACATGTATAGGTTCAACAATACATTTGTATTAATTTTATAGCAGCAGAATGAGAATCCCATCTGTTTACACACATCAATAATACATACAGTGTTGACTATTAAGTGCACATTGAATATTAAACACAAACATAAACAGGAGCAACATGAACATTACTTAATCTCCATTTCACATTTTGAGAAAGCCCTTTTAATTTGAATATAGACAATCTATAGAGTGCCTTGTGAGAGAATTTGGCCCCCTTGAACTTTGTCCTTTTGCCACATTTCAGGCTTCAAACATAAAGATATGAAATTTAAATTTTTTTGTGAAGAATCAACAGCTAGTGGGACACAATCATTAGGTGGAAGGAAATTTATTGGATATTTTACACTGAAAAATTGGGTTGCAAGTCGCTACAAGCTGCAAGTCGCCTGGGGTATGTCTCTATCAGTTTTGCACTTTGAGTGACTGTCATTTTTACTCATTCTTCCTTGCAAAACACCTTAAGCTCAGTGAGGTTAGATGGAGAGCGTTTTTTCCCCCCCACAGATTATTGATTAAATTCAGGTCTGGACTTTGACTTGGCCATTCTAACACCTGATATGTTTATTTGTGAATCGTTCCAATCCACTGTAGATTTTGCTTCATCTTTGCCTTGTTGGAAGATAAATCTCTGTCCCAGTCCCAGGTCTTTTGCAGACTCCAGCAGGTTTTCTTCCAAAATGGTCCTGTATTTGGCTCCATCTATTTTCCCATCAATTACACCCATCTCCCCTGTCTTTGCATAAAAAAAAGCAGGCCCAAAGCATGATGCTGCCACCACCAAGTTTGACAGTGGGGATGGTGTGTTCAGAGTGATGAGCTGTGTTGCTTTTATGCCAAACATAACAATTTTAGTTTAATCTGACCAGATCTCCTTCTTCCACATTTTTGCTGTCTCCCAGGTGTCCTGTGGCAAACTTTAAACAAGACTTTTTATGGACATCTTTAAGAAATGGCTTTCTTTCATAAAGACTAGATTTGTGCAGCATTTGTGCAACATGATTGTTGTCGTACAGACAGAGTGTCCCGCCTCAGCTGAAGATCATCCTCAGTGATCACGAGCAATTCAAAATTTACAGGTCTTCATAAATTTGCAATCCTTCTATTTCAATATTACAGTGCTCCTTAGGTTTTTTAAAGCTTGGGAAATCATTTTGTATCGAAATCCAGCTTTAAACTTTTCCACGATAGTATCTTGTCCTGAGCTGATGTGTTTCTTGTTTTTCACAATGCTCTCTATGCTTTTAGCAGAACTATGAGATTATCGCAGAGCAGGTGCATTTATACAGAGACTTGATTACACACAGGTGGATTCTATTTATCCTCATCAGTCATATAGGTCAACAATGGATCATTCAGAGATCCTCACTGAACTTCTGGAGGGATTATGCTGCACTGAAGGTAAAGGGGCAGATTCATTTTGCACGCCCCACTCTTCAGTTCTTTATTTGTTAAAACGTTTTTAAATATAATAAATTGTGTTCCATTTCATGATAATGTCCCACTTAATGTTGATTCTTCACACGAAGTTACAATTCTATATATTTATGTTTGAAGCTTGAAATGTGCCAAAAGTTTTAAAAGTTCAAGGAGGTCAATGCTCTCACAAGGCCCTAAGCGAGATGGATCAGATCAGTCTGTTCTTCTATTATGCAGTAAATTCACAGGATCTATCAACAAGAACAATACTCTAAACTTTAAAAGTTGGACACTTGTGAAAAAATGTCTACTGTGAGCCTCTCTTTGAGGACTATGCATAATCTCTTTATTTAGGAGGTGCTACTCCAAGAGTGATTATTCCTCTCTTATATCAAGGAGCCAAATCAATCTTATTTAGATGTTGCCTTTATGAAAGACCAATTATAATCTAATGCTACAAAAACACGACTAAGCAGATTACCTCAAATGACAGCATATTATAGGATGTAATCTGCTAATCTGTCTGTGTCTGAGATCAGTTAAAATAAATAAGACGGGTGCAAACAGAACTCAGATGTAGTTTGTGAGTTTCCTTTCTACAAACTCAGCCTACAAAGTGTCTTCTGCTACATTCAGCCTAAGCCGGATAGAGACGTCCTTCTCCAACTCTTCCTCATCCACCTCTCTGTGTGTTCTCCAGGGCTCAGCAGGCATACGGTGGAGGCTTCTCAAAGGGGCTGTAGGAGGATCCGTACAGGGCGGGAGCATTGGGAGTCAGCATGTAGCCTCCAGGGTCCTGGTTGGCTCCCTGAGGCTGTGGCTGAGTGGGAGCCTGGGTGGGCGGCTGGCTCTGGCTCTCCTCAGAGGGGCAGACTCCAGAGCCTCCTTCAGGGATCATCTGGGGAGTAGCAGGTGTCTGATAGCTGCTGGCATGCTGTGCAGTGGGGGGGTTAACAGTTAAATCCCCATTATTATCTTTAAGTGAAATTATTTTCATATATATTTGATCTTAATGGCCAAAGATTTGATCAGATTAAAGTTTTATCAAAATATTTCACGTAAAAGCATTAAAAAAAAAACTTTCTGCTACACATGGGGGGATTTCAAATGACAGAGGAGCATCGAATTGTTTCCTAGCAGTTATGCTTTGGTACCTGCATAGGTATGGGATAGTTAGGGTAGGCGGGCAGAGCCTGTCCTGAGGGACAGAAGCCTGAATAGGACAGCATGTGCTGGGTCGGGTTGTACAGGATGTGGGGTGGTGGTGCAGGGCTCCGAGCAACCTGAGGGGAGGGCTTCTGCTGCAGGAAAAAAAAAATAATATTAATCTCATTAAACTGGAACATCGCAATATTCACAAAATGGCAGTACTACTGACACTTGACTGCAGTATAATTTTATATACTGTAGCCTATATATGTGTATGTCTGTATATATATATATATATATATATATATATATATATATATATATATATATACATTATGTATATATTTTTATCCAATTGCTTCACTTTTTCCAACTAAAATTCTGAAATAAATAGCCTTTTTCAATGATTTCCAACTCTACAATCTCATTAGTCCTAAACTAATGAGACAGATCGTCACATGAAGCTTTTTTTGTGATGTTTTGCTTCCAGTAAGTCAGACTTATGTGAAATATTCAGAAGCACATCATCAGTTTTCTATTCTTTCATAAAGCCTTTTTTTCTGTGGAAATTGACTGCTTATCTGAAGTTGTCTAATCTGACTGCTTTCAGTACTCCCAGTTACCAGGAAGCCTATGATCCATCAATCATTTAGGAGTAAAAACTGAGTCCAAACACAGCGGTGAATTCAGCAGAGAATAAAAAACAAACATTTCAATGGTGAAAACATGGCTTTCATACTGTTGCTATGTGTTGATAATTTTGGCACTTAACAGAAACTTTAGTAAAAGCACTTCCAAAACCTTAACTTTTACACTTGAAAAGAACTAATGGTTAAATTGGGCTTTATATCAGGCAGTTCAGAAATGGGCGAGCTTGTTTAAATAGTATATTAGTCATGCACCGATCATATATCGTAATGAAACAGATGTCTGGAAGTCTGCAGACAGTAAAAGATACACCATCATATAAAAGTCCAACATCTGCGACAGCCCACATGCAATATTTTATTTCACTCAGGACTAAAACTACTTTTTATTTTTTGAATTTCTTAGTTTTTTCCCCCTTAGTCAGTTTTTTGTTGCTGTTGTAAGTCTTCTGGGACTTCGTCTCACCATATCCTTGTACGCTCCGAGGATGGCGGCGTTAATGATGCCCAGGAACAAGGCGACCACGTTCAGCACCACTGAGGCCCACAGCAGCCGGTGCAGGTGGATCACATCCCAGCAGCTGCTGACCCCCGTGAACTCGTAGTAATGGGTGTGGTAGTCTGTGCTGGAACAGGAAAGAGGGCAGCTGTGACTTTTACTGTTTTAAATGTGGCCATACTGAACTGCAGACAAATTAATCTGGCAAGATGAGCATATCTGTAATCACCAACAAGCTTTTTTCAGTTCAATTCAGTTTATTTCTATAGTGCCAATTCATAACACATTTAGTCTCAAGGCACTTCAATTCAACCAGATCATACAGTCAAATGTATTTAAAGTTTTCTATCTAAGAAAACCAGTTGATTGCATTGACTAATTGACTCGACGGCAATCACACTAAGCATGCTTGTAGTGACAATGGAGAGGAAAAATTCCCTTTTAAAAGGAAGAAACCTCTGGCAGAACCAGGCTCAGTGTGCGCGGCCATCTGCCGAGGCCGACTGGGGCTCAAGGAGACCGAAGCAGCAACTGTAAAAGGCGGCCCTGTCCAGGAAACACACAGCCAGGCAAACGAGCTCCGAGCCAGCTCCCATGTCAGAGGATGAAGAGAGCACATCCAGCCAGTCTCAGTCAGAGAAACAGGACTACACTGAAAAACAGGCCGATCTCCTCATCTATAAACAAAGGTGTTAATGGCAGCAGCACAGCTGATATTTCTCTCCATGATGCTGTCACAGCCAAACAGGAACAGGGGAGGCAAAGCTAGGAAGCTCAGGAAGTCATCAAACTGTAGTTAAATGCCTTCAGCTGATCCAAAATTCTGCAGCCAGAGTTCCTATGAAAATTAAAAAGACAGATATATCTCTTCTGTCCTAGCTTCTCCTAATTGGCTTCCTGTTAAGTCGCTCTAAATCGGCAGGTTTTCTAGTGGTTCCTAGAATTTCTAAAAGTAGAATGGGAGGCAGATCTTTTAGTTATCAGGCTCCTCTCCTGTGGAACCAACTACCAGTTAGGGTCAGTCTAATTTTAAGTGTAGACTTTCCTTTTTGATAAAGCTTATAGTTAGAGTGACTCAGGTTTTCCTGAGCTATCTCTATAGTTATGCTGCTATAGGCTTAGACTTCTGAAGGACATAGGGACAGCTTTTTCATCATTCTGCCTTATTCAATTCAACTTAATCATATTAATATTTAGAATCCTACTGACACAACAGATTTTATTGTCGACCACATATATGTTGCTTGAACCCTTAACCTCTCATTAAACCTTTATTATTGTCATGATCTTGGCACCATAAGCTGGGTTTTACCCCTTTATTTCTTATCTGCTTTCTTCCGCCCTACGCTCATTATCTCTCATCAGATTCACCTGTTCCTGCTCCTATTTATATCACCGGTTCCCAGCCATTGGTGCCAGATTATTTGAGCTTCTAGCGAGACTAATTCTAGCGTTTCTGTATGTGTTTAGTTCTGCTTGATCCTGACCTGTTTCTACAGAGGATTTCTGAGTTAGGCTGCCCCTGTTCTGCTCTGTTTTTGCCTGTTCTGTGTTTTCCAGACTGTTTTCTGGATTCCACCTGTTGCCGATCTTGGACCGATCTTCTGACCACTGCTTGGATTTGCCCTTGTTTCCTCTGCGTGTTTTGGCTGCCTGCTGGTCGCTGCTCCTCTTCTGTTCTGGACCTCTGATATGGCTCCATTTCAAGATGTGGATTTCCACTCCTATGGTCTTCACCCCTTCTCCTGGGCTAGGACTGAACTTTGCCAGCAGCGTTGCCCGTGAGCCCGCCTCAGCTGACGAGCAGCCGCACGCAGTTTTTAATTAACGCCTTATAAGTTATCACTGTCTGTCTGGTCTGAATTTTTTTATTTTTTTTGTAAGAGAGGAAATGGTTGATAAACAAAACTGATCATTTTTATTTGGCATAAAGTATTTAGGTCTCTACAAAAAGGTCTGGGATTCCCTGGGGATCTCTAAATTGTGAAAAATCATGGATGTGCTTGGGATGCATTCGAGTGAGCTATGATAACCAAGTAGCATTTCACCATTTCCCTCTCTAGGACCCTAAAGGATAATTTTTATTTAGTCTCTTTCTCATGCCCCTCCACTGGCTGTGCCCCATTAAAGGGGGGGGCCACTTCTTCAACATTAAAACCGCCTCTAGTCTCAGTCAGACACTCCTAATGTAAGATTTAAAATTGCAAAGTGCTTAGTTAAAGTCTGATTATCTTACCTCTCACAGTTGTAAAGGTAGCAGCAGTAGCAGGTGTTGCTCCTAAGTTTCATCTTGCAGGCTTTGTTAAATGAACGGCACGTCACCTGCAGTGAGGTCAACAGGGTAAAAAGGGTTTGAGTTTGAATAAATAGAAATATGTAAATGCCATGTGGGTAAATCCTTCTCTCAAAACAGGAAACCTCTTGAAAGTTTTCAAGGAGAGTGGAAAATATAGGAGCATATTGACATTTTAAGGTTGAGAAACTACAACTGGAGACTTACAACTACCATTGATTATGGGTAAAATCTTGGTGTCATGTTGGACTCAGACCTGAACCTTCAAAGGCACATAAAGGCAGTTACTAAGTCAGCCTTTTATCACCTAAAGAACATTCCAAGGATTAAAGGACTAATGTCAAAGCAGGATCTAGAAAAGAATAATTAATGCATTTATCAACCTCCCAGACCACTCAGGTCATCTAGTTCAAGCCTACTCCGTTTACCCAGAACTAGATCCAAACATGAAGAAGCAGCATTTAGTTCCTATGCTCCACTTATGGAACAAACTCCCAGAAGACTTTAAAAGTGCTGAAAGCATGAGTTCTATTTAGTCAAAGTTAAAAACCCATTTGTTTAGAGCTGCCTTTGACTCTTAAAGTTAAACTGTTAACTAGTGTATTATTAGTTTGAGGTCGTGCTCCAACTGTTTTGTTTCACTAACATGTTTTTATTTTAATTTTTTGCTTTTATTTTTCTTTCTTTTTTTAAATTCAGGTAAAGCACTTTGAATTGTCCTTGTAATGAATTGTACTATACAGAGGTGTCAAGTTAGAAAGTACAAATACTTGCTTTCCTTACCTAAGAGGAAATCTTGGCTATCTATACTTTACTGGAGTAATTATTTTTAGACAACTTTTTACTTCTCCTTTCATTGTTTTTCTATTATCTCTTCTTTCTACTCCTTACATTTAAAAAATAGACTTGTTAGTTTTGTTTCTTTTAAGTTCACTTTCATAATGGCCTGTTAGTATCTGAGAAAATGAAATCCATCAAAATGATTAGTTTCATCCAGACAATTTATTTGTGGTTGGACTCGGTACTGCACCAAAGTAAACAGCTATTCAAGATTATGTAAAGTTAAATTTGACAGAGTTATTATTAGTTATAAAAAGGTTATCATCCAGAATTGTAGTAAAAGGTTCCTTTAATACAGTTGCGCATCTGTCCTTAACAATTTTTGATGCATTACTAAACATTTAAATAGCTTTAAAAAATTTACTTTTACTTCACTAACAATTTTAAGTTAATAATCTAACTTCTAAAAATGTGTTTTTAAACAGTAGGATTTAAACTTTTACTTGACTAATAAAGATCAATACCTCTGACACCTCTGCTATACAAATAAACTTGCCTTGCTTCAAAGTGGCAGGATTTTCTCTGTGTAGTAACGCATTTAAGCCACTAGATGTCACCGTATGCTTCAAAAATGTTCAACGCAGCAACAAAAAGGATTGGGGCTTTAAGAGTTATCTTTTTGTATATATATATATATATATATATATATATATATATATATATATATATATATATATTTTTTTTATAAAAGTCCATATGCATGGATAAATTAAAGCAATAAACCTCAGTATAGTAGTTATCGTAGGCGTATCCCGATCCACTGCTGTAATAGTCACACATGTCCTCCTGCAATGGCCTTATGTCCTGAAACAGTGAAAAGAGTTTAAGAAATTAAATTTAAGTGTGAAACACATCATGCAAAATCATAACATTTTCTCTTCTTATTATATTTAGAGAAACATTTTTTCATCACCGTGGGTCTGAGTTGCATCTCTGAGTCTGAGTGTCACTGAAGCTGCAAAGGTTTACAGCATACATCTGCTTATTTCCCTGCACTGGACTGCAAAAAGCTACCCCATTATTCTTCACTGCATTTTATGCTTCACCAAAGCTAATAAAATTCATTTTAATTTCCAAGCCCTGAATGTGCAATAGATAGGACTTTTACTGCATGAGAACCAAATGCATAAATCTGACGAGACCATACAATATAGGTGATCAATATCAGGAGCTCAGTGCAGCTTTTAGAATATCATTAGGAGCAGGAGTCTATGTTCTCCAAAGGGAAAATGGTAATGAGCTTATGTCATGTAATGTGCGTAATGCACATATAATCATTTAGTATGTGTATTTAAAACATCCTTTCCTGATACCTGTAATTTATAAAAAAAAATTGTTTGGCATCTCTTTTTTTATTTTTTTGATACTTTAATTTGATTAAAAGCTTTAGGAGCCTCTCTACAGGGCGACCTGAGATCAGGACATCTGATATGGTCTTCTCCTGACCTGATCAGTGTGTCTGTGTGAAGCTTGAACACTAGGGGGGGTTTGTTTTACACAAAATAAAGGTTAGAATCCTTTGGATTTATGTCTTTTCAAGAAAAATCAGGGCAATACTTACAATGAACTCTGAAGCAATGATCCCATCCACAATGGCACAGAAGAAAGAAGCAATGACACCGATACTGATGAAGACGATTGCAGCTACGAGCTTAAAGAAAGCAGGAGGAAAGAGAAATAAGCAATATGAAAAACTGTTTAAAAGAAAGTACCCTGTAAGCATCTCAAACTTGTTATGTTGTGTTCTCTGTCCTGATTGCCAGAACCTATGGTTTAGTAGTATTATTTGCAAAGGTAGGGTTGTACATTCATCAATTTTGCGAATGATTCTAGAACTTAAATGAACAAATAACAAAAAATGGCTATGTTTAAATAAATATTTAACTTCTGTTTACAATTTCGAGGTTTCTTTTAGTTGAGTTTGCATTTATTTTCAGTTTAGTTATCACTCAGTGCCTGGAATCTCACTCTAACACCAACATACACAATCATAAAGGTAATCTTCACATGCCGGGTGGTGTTCTCCCTGATTGGCTGTCTGGGCTGCGGGATGATAAAGGAAATGTATGGCTGCTTCCTCTGCCAAACACATTGGAGCGTTGTGGCTGATTTACAGGCTGGCTCCAGGTGCAGCGCAGAGGGACGGCCTTTTGGTGGCCTTGAGGTCAATCTCATTCCCTCTGTCTGCCGCATACACAAATCCACAGTGTTCTCAGTTCCTGATCACTGATCAATAACCTTTGACTTTAGCTTTTTTCCTTTCTTTTTTCTAAACATGTGATCTAACTCACATATCCACCCAGGTCTTTTACACTGTAGGGTTTCATCATGTAAATTTAAACTCTCCGTCTGGAAGACACAGCTGTCAGTTCACAAATGTCTGCTCATAAAATTTACTAATCAGCATCAGCTAAAGACATTCAGATGGCCCCACAGCACCAAGGCTTCACTGCAGAAACTTTTTTCTTTTTTTAAACGTTGGCACGACTTTGTAATTTGCTAGATGTGTAACCCAAGATTCTAATTTTATTTAGATTATTGGACCCGTTTGATTGCTTTAAAGATGAACAACACAGATATTCAAACCTTAAATGAAAACATTTTATTTATTCATCTTCATAAACTTATCTTTGATTTATTCATCAAAGATTAGTTAAAAGTTTATGAATACATTTTTTTAATGAGTGCAAGAAAAATAACTTTTTATTTTCTGAATGCAGGGAAAAAAACACGCATTATTAAAAAAAATCTAAATTGTTATAATGTAAATTTATCTTTACACCTTTTAGTACGTTGACGTTTGACACTTCAAAATGTCAAAAGTTGGACTTTATGAGTTTCTGAAACAATCAGCCAGCTCTATACACCATTAGCCAGATCTATATTGGTGCAGATGGAAAGAGAAAAGGGCTGTTTGGGAATAAACATGGATTTTTCTCATTGCAAAGAATGCACGAACTGTTCAGGGAGAGACCGGGACCCTGGCAGGTTCGTGTGATCGTAAATGGAGGAGGTGGGCCTTAATTGGAAAAATTTAGACAGTTTTAAGATCCATCTAATCTTCAAGCAGAGTTTAAGTTCCTTGGTTTCTTACATAGAAATAATAATGAAATTTTTCAAAAGCAAAATTTTCCCTTTACAAGTTAAATAAAATAATGTTAACAACTTTAAGAGTGAGATGCTGGATACAAACAATTAAAATGAGCTTCCTACATAGAGTGAGTCACACGTAGAGATAGAGTTAGATTAGAAATCAACTGGTACAGGGTTTTTTAAAGGCCACCCCCCACCTCTGATCTTTTTAACCATTAAAAAAAAGTTAATTATGTACAGCAATAAATTAAACTAAAACTCATTATACCTTTAGAGTATTTCTCTCAAGTTTAACTGTACATTTTACTGTGTAATATAGTCCAATTCTTGAAATCAACATTATTTTTCTTCCTCCATTTATGTAATAAAAATGACAATGATTCCTATTGAGCTCCAACCAAAGAGTGAGATGCTTCCGCAATAATAAATCCTGGATCACCAGTGATCTGAAGGATCTCCTAAACAAGAAAAAAAAAGCCTTAATGAAGAGAGACAGGGAATTATTGAGGAGTATGTAGAAGCAACTTAGGGTTAAGATAAGAGAAAGCAAGGAGGCATATAGGAAGAAGCCGGAAAGCACCCTGCTTCCTTTGGCCTGAAGCCTCAGCTTCAGCAGCTCCCTGCGATTCTACAGCACAGGACCACAGTTCCAGTGATGTAGAAGACCTTCTGCCTTGTTCCAGTACCAAAGATAACTCAGCTAACATTCCTCAGTGACAATAGACCTGTTGCTCTGACATCACACATCATAAAGGCTGCAGAGACACTTTTGTTGGTTCAGCTCAGTAAAGGAACACGCAGCTATCAGGACCTCCTGCATTTTGCTTATTGCAGAGGATCATCATCTTGGATTATTTCAATGCATTTAATACGATTCAGCCTGACTTTCTTTATGAGAAACTTCAGAAGACTAAGATGGAGGTATCAACAATAGCCTGGATCAAAGATTAAAACAGCCCAGTTTGAGGCTGAAGGGTTTGCTGTGTAATCAACTAGTCAGCGGCACAGAATCGCCACAAGTGGTGGTTCTGTCTCTATTCCTTTTTACTCTGTACATCTCTGACTTTCAGTATGAGAAAGATTCCTTTCATCTGCAGAAATACTTATATGACTCTGCAGTTATTGGGTGCATCAAAGATGGGAAAGAAGCTGAGTACAGAGAGCTGGTGAACTGATTCATGGCATGGTGTGGTAACAGTCATCTGATCACAAATGTGAACAAAACAAGGGAGCTGATTGTATATGTCAAAACAAACTGAAACAACTGTATATGTTATTACTGTATAGTAAATGGGTGTAGCGGTAATGTATGCACTTTGCTAATACTAATACAAAAAAAGTTAATATCAGCAAAGGATTTCAGCTGGTTAATGTATTGGTCTGAAGAGGAGCCAGTCAGCCAAGGTGTTTTGGCTGTTTTTTTGTTTTATTTTTAACTTAAATTTTTGTCACATCACCAATGACATGACAGTTTGAGGGGATGTCAACTATCCTTAAGTCGGCATCAGTATCTACTTTCTTTCTTTAAATTTCAAAATGATTAAGAAGTTTAGATCAAACTAGTTATGATTGCCCTGGAAATCAATTTACCCCCCAAAATCTGCTTTAATCAATTTAATGTAAACCAATTTTTTTGGAAAATAATATGTAGTCATTCTGAAAAAGGTCATCTGGAGCTACACATTTTATATGTTCGACCTTTCATCAGGCTCCACGTCTTTGCTCTCACTGACATTTGCTGACGGATATACAAACCTGTTATTTACTACTGAACAAAAGATATAAAAGTATAAAGCTCCAAATTAAATTCAGCATAATATTTGTGTCTTAGTTTGTATCACGTATAGACAATTGTGCTCCATAGTGGTTCAAATATTTTCAATCAAACTGATTCAGAAGACAATGAGCAGGAAATCTGAAAGGCATAATTTCATCAAGTCTTTGAAATGCATTTTCCTCAGAGAAGTGAATAAAGAACCAAGCTGAGGAAGCAATCTCTTTCTGGCTGGCTTTATCTGCCACTGGTCCAGACTCTCCACTTCATTAGCGGTTCTAATGACTCCACTTTTATGGGCTGCAAGTGGGAGATGAAGCCAGCAGCTGAGACAATAGAGCCTGACAACTGCATTACTTCAGATTACCCCAGCTACAGCTGCCAGCACATAAAACATCTTTGCAGATCAAACCCCCAAACCTCCAGTAGAACTGAATAATCATATTCTGTATAAGTACATTGTAGATGGTTAATCTACTCTTAAAAGTTCACTCTTTTTTATTTCAAAGTGATTTTTCAATCTGCATTATAAAAAAATGAGTATAATCCCTCCTCATTGCTTTCTTTTTTGGGGGCTTTTTTCAATGCTTGCATATTTAAGATAATCAAACTAATTCTAATATCAGCTTGATATTCATGAAAAAAATCTGTTTTAATCATTTGGAAGGATGATTTTATTTAATAAGTAATCTAAACCTCCCTGCGATGGACTGGCGACCTGTCCAGGGTGTACCCTGCCTCTCGCCCGTAGACAGATGGAGATAGGCACCAGCACCCCTCGCGCCCCACTTGGGATTAAGCGTGTCAGAAAATGGATGGATCGAAGTAATCTAAGCCAACATGACCCCATTAGAGCATATGATGCCCCCCCCCATTCCTAATAATTGGTTGTAGCTTTGGTCAACCTGCCATCAAACAGCTGTAATTACCCTTAATCGCTCTGCTACCTGCTGTAGTTGAGAAAGTCAGCACAACTTTCTGTTAAACAAGTTTAGATTTATTCAAAACAAAAGGTCAGGAAGGATCCATTAAATGCAATCCAACAGCATCTTAGTTGGTTTAAGTCTGGACTTTAAGACGATCCCCTTAGTTAGGGAGGCTTGTTGATGGGTTTTTCTTCGCTGTGCCGTTATATAAGCTAAGCGTGCTTGAACTTGGAACCTCAAAATGATGATGATGAAGATGATGATTTGATTTTCTCTCAGTGTTTTCTGATAGAGAAAATAGTTAAATTAATTGGTCACCCAGGCCCCGAAGCATCAGAATAGCCCCAGATCATTACACTACTACCTCCATGCATTCTGATTTAATGGGTTGGCAGACGGTACAACATATGGGGAAGAAACACACTTTAGAGTCCGCGAAAGATTGTTTACAACTCATTGCTTATTAATACATCCATACATACCAGAATCATGTTGTTTTTTTAAGCAGTCCGAAATTACGAGCAGTTGATTCATCACTTACAGTACATAATCCATTTCGATGAAATCAAGATTAGTTTTCAACAGAATGGTTGACATTTTCTGACCAGTCTCATCCATTTTATTTTATTTTCCACCTTCAAAGCATTTGGATTAAACTGTGATCAGTAAGAAGCCTATAGCTGTTAGTAACAAGGGCAGAGATGCTCCATGCTACGCATCAATAGCAAAAGTAATCTTTAATATATATTTTCCCTGTATTCTGTATGTGTTTGCATTCACTGGAGTTGGTCTTATTTTATTTCTTAAAGCATTTATACTTTCTTCTCATGCTAATTAACTGTGGTTGGGACACAGTTT